TTTTGCCCCCCCCCCCCCAAACGGTAGATCATGATAGATCATTCAAGGACAATTCACTGGAGAATTTTGATTGATTGATTTATTATTATTTGCACAAGTTTTTCAGAGAACATTTTTTCAATTGATGTTAACAATACTATCCAATTATTCATAATCCAGTAATTTATTGACGATAGCGAGATAAATTTATAGTTAACAAAGATTCTACATTTTTAATGAGGGATTGTTGGAGAAGGCCACCAGTACCAGAGGTCATGTCGATGAAAGTGTCTCCAGATGAAGGTTCCAGGTACTGAATTACTTCGTTCGCCGGTACTGGCATATCGAGTCACTTCTTAGGGTTTGGCTGGCTCTGAATGGTGTAGTGCAGCTTTCTTAAACATTTTCGATGCTCGCCTGAAACAGTCTAGGGGTCTTTGGGAGAATGTGGAGCAGTTGAAAACAGGGTTCAAGGAGAGTTGAGCTGTTTAAATAGCTAAACACGTGTAGTAAGGACTAAAGAGTCTTTCGCTGGGCACCTGGATGATGATACAATCATGTCAGCTTTTTCAGCATTGATCCACGTTCCTCCCACTCCTGGGTACACTTTCACTCTGGAATTTGTGGGATTACTCGAGATGTCTTAATTATTTGACCTGTCCATGTTCTCAGAGAGGCGGTGCTATTTTAAATCCGAGCCATGATCCAGTATGTAAGCTGTTCTGCCATCGTCCTCCAGAATCTCCATGGTTTTTTCCTTCTTCATGGGGAGATTGAGGGCTATTGAAAACCGTCATGTTTTCATTGGATTTGTTGATGGGCTTTCAGGACTCCGTTCCTCGAGTCTGTTTTCACACTCACACTCACATGAAAAAATCTCACAATCTCATTGATAAAAAAAAATAATTAAATATTAAATATTGTTAATTCATTAAACTTGTTTCTAACTGATTCCAACATATTTTAACCGGAGTAAACATAGGAGGTGGAGGAAAGACCGGCTGATATGGGGGTTTAACACAGCTGATCATACATGACGGCTCTCTTAGAAGAAAAAAATTAAGAAATATTCATGGGGTGGTAAAATTAAGAAATAGTATATTTCAGCACGTGTGGGGCAATATCGCCTTTAATGTGTGTAGGGTTTACAGCATGAGCCGAAGGCGAGTGATGTAACCACACACGTTAAGGACGAAATTTCCCAACAAGTACTGAACAAAATTTTATGTCACGAAGCCTGAAACCGGCTGAATTAGACACGAGACGCGAAGCGTCGAGTGTGTAATCCAGCCGGTTTCAGGTATAAAAATTGTTTATGCCACTCATGCCTGAAACCGGCTGGATTACACACTCGACGCTTCGCGTCTCGTGTCTAATTCAGCCGGTTTCAGGCTTCGTGACATAAAATTTTGTTCAGTACTTGTTGGGAAATTTCGTCCTTAACGTGTGTGGTTACATCACTCGCCTTCGGCTCATGCTGTAAACNCAGCATGAGCCGAAGGCGAGTGATGTAACCACACACGTTAAGGACGAAATTTCCCAACAAGTACTGAACAAAATTTTATGTCACGAAGCCTGAAACCGGCTGAATTAGACACGAGACGCGAAGCGTCGAGTGTGTAATCCAGCCGGTTTCAGGTATAAAAATTGTTTATGCCACTCATGCCTGAAACCGGCTGGATTACACACTCGACGCTTCGCGTCTCGTGTCTAATTCAGCCGGTTTCAAGCTTCCTGACATAAAATTGTGTTCAGTACTTGTTGGGAAATTTCGTCCTTAACGTGCGTGGTTACATCACTCGCCTTCGGCTCATGCTGTAAACCCCACACACGTTAAAGACGATATTGCCCCACATGTACTGAAATATACTATTTTATAATAATTTCTAATTCCCAAACTCCAAATTATAATCCTTTACAATTCCCAAATGGCTTTGCATCGATTTATACTCATTTTAATGACATTTGACAATTTCACATGCTAACTATATGTCGTACAAAAAGAATTAATAAAAAAAAAATTATTAGTTCCTGAATTGTAAAGTCATGTTCCTAAACTATCCTAAATGATTCCCAAATGATCTAAATTGATTTTATTGGAAAATTCATTATTTTCCTGCTAATTATATGGCCGTCATCGTCAACATTTTATCACAGGCCACCCACTACCCCACCGGCATAACCGATAAAGAAGGTTTCCTTTTCAAATATTGTGATGTGATACATGTCCCGCCATCTTGGAGAGTCAGAGTGAATCATTCCAATCGAGTGAAGAAACACTTATCCATGACAATTGAGTCGACCAACTGAAGATAAAAAATTCTACTAACAAGTATACGGCGACGTTCTTCCCGGTCTTGCCCCCTCGGTTTTATTAATTATTCCAGTCGGCCATACGCAGCACCAGCGTAACACTGACTCCACCGGACTCATTTCACCTCTATCAAGTGCAACGTCACTCTTGGAGCAATCCAAACTGAAGATAATTTCCCATCCTGTAAAAATCACTCAAAATGGTGAGTTATTCTGTCGCTTGTCCACTCTTTCGTCATTCATCCATCGCATACTCTCAGAATTCCGGGTGATGACGAGAATCTACGCATCACTAGAAGTCGTTTCTCGTCTTTTTATCAACCTTATCAGCTTAACCTCCACGTGCCCTTGAGATTAAAACTAAAGGACTAATAATCTGACTCAAATTTTTCATCGAAAAATCTAACATGATTATTCCAATTCTTTTCAAAAAATCACCGCATCACTTTGTTGATTCTCTCTCCATCAATTCTGTTGAATTCACCAACCAATTATCTCTAATCGATACAAATTAATTAATAAAAAAAATTTTTTGCTTAAACTGCGTCAAACCGTCGTTTTTCGAATTTCATTTTGCCACGCTCGCCCCTATTATTTAGAAAATTGTAATATTCCATACATTATTTTCATTTATAAAACGTTTTGTAAATACATTTAACTTTATAACAGCACTTGTGAACTAGAATTTATACAACCATAAAATGAAAGGAGATGAAATTAAAGAGAACTCATCTCATTTTAAATAAAATTATAAAAAAACTCAAAATAACAAAGGATTTCTCATGTATCCGATTTCATGAGGATGATTAGAATGATGAGTTTTGTTATTAATCAGGCGGAGCCAATCAATGTTGTGGTGACCGGTGCAGCAGGTCAAATAGCGTACTCACTCCTATATCAATTGGCAGCTGGCTCAGTCTTCGGGCCTGATCAACCCATCAATCTTCGCCTTCTGGACATTCCAGTGATGATGGAGGTGCTTCAAGGAGTTGTCATGGAGCTCGACGACCTCGCACTTCCCCTCTTGAGAGGTACAAACCCCCCGGACACTTTACAAAAACATGAAAAGAATTACTCTACTAAAGAATTAAGATCTCAGATACAAGTGTCAAGAGACAGTTTGTGCAGCAAATTCAATTTTTTATTATCGAAAAGATTTTTTCTCGATTTTTTTCTTTACATTCTGTGAAAAAAAATTTTTTTTTTCAGAGGTTCTCCCAACTGCTGACCCTGCTGCAGCCTTCAAGGACGCGGCAGCTGCATTTTTAGTGGGTGCTATGCCCAGGAAACAAGGAATGGAGCGCAAGGATCTCCTTTCTGCTAATGTCAAGATTTTTAAAGTTCAGGGCGAGGCCCTAGACAAATACGCTCGCAAGGACGTGAAGGTGCTGGTCGTTGGCAATCCAGCTAACACTAATGCACTCATCTGCTCGCACTATGCGCCGTCCATCCCCAAGGAGAACTTTACTGCCATGACGAGACTCGATCAGAACCGAGCGCAGGCTGCACTGGCTGCTCGTCTTGGGGTTCAGGTGACTAAAATCTCAATTATCTCGAAAAGGAAGGCTTTTGAGGAAAAGTCTCATTCGACCTTTTTTGTAGCTCTCGAGATTCTCCACAGAAAAGGTTTTATGACAATTTCTCCCCAAATGGGTATTTACTGAGATGATTGACTCGCAAGGATGAAACCAGGAGCACAGAAAAATAGTTAATTCAGTAGAATCTTTTGTTCTCTGGAAAATAAGTTCACCTATTCAATGTTCGCCTCTTCGTGACAATTTCAGGTTGATAAAGTACAGAATGTTATCATCTGGGGCAACCACAGCTCCACACAGTTCCCAGATGCCTCCCACGCGACTGTCAATGGCAAACCTGTCCCATCAGCTGTCAATGATGATGCCTGGCTGAATGGAGTCTTCTTGGAGACGATTCAGAAGAGGGGTGCTGCTGTCATCGCAGCCAGGAAGATGTCCTCTGCAATGTCCGCTGCCAAGGCAGCTGGGGACCACATGAGGGACTGGTGGATGGGAACCAAACCTGGACACTGGGTCTCCATGGGGGTTCTGTCTGATGGGAGCTATGGAGTGCCAAAGGACATTGTTTTTTCATTTCCTGTCACCATTAATAATGGGAAATTTGAGATTGTTCAGGTAACTCTTTGTAATATTTCATTAATTAAAAATAGAGATGATTTTCGTAATCCAAAATCCAAATTTTTTCTGATGAAAAATTTTTCAGTATTATTTTAACTCGACATTATGGGAAATAAAAAAATCTTTAACTATTCATAATAAAAGATTCCTTAATGATTTGTCTTAGTAAAAGAAAATCAAAAAATATTTTTCTCCAGATCCATTAGTTTTGAATATATCTATTGAATAGAATATTTCATAAATTGAAAATAGAAATGATTTAAAATAAAATTCCCTTTACCTAAAGTTAGTCTAATATTTCACCCAATGTTTTTTCACTATGTAACATAATCTCTTGAGTCTAAAATTCATAAATTTGAGATTATTCAAGATTATATATATTTTCATCACGCTGTGACGAAAAGTGAACTTTTCGGCACGCTCCGCGTGCCTAAAAGTCCAATTTCCACCACATTGTGATGAAAAATATTGTTCGTAACTCGTGAAAAAACACATTTTTGCACTCGTTATGAAATATACTAATTCAAGATTATTCCAGCATTCGACTACCCCTATAGTCAACGACTTCCAAGCGTCGGAAATCTTCAACTTTCGACCATCAATTATTAATTAACGAGCAATATTTCTAATGCTTATGAATGAAAAATTCATCATTTCAAGCCGAAACCTGAAATTAAAAAAATAAAACAGATTCATGCATATTCCTTATTGTTTGCTGGAAAAAAAGTCCGACATTTCCTTTAAATTTGGAATTAATGGTTTTGTTTGCAGAATCTCTCAATCAGCGACTTTGCAAGAGGCAAATTGAACATAACAGCTAAAGAACTCGAAGAAGAGCGTGCTGAGGCCCACTCAGTCCTCATGCCATGACTATCCGGCCCCCAGTCCTCCACCCCCCCACGACCAGACACTAAATGCCGGCTATAGGTTGAAATGGAATAAGCACCTGTTAATATTATCAAGATTAACGTTCAGCTGATATATGTGTATAGATGACGTCTGCCCCAAACTCTGCATTCGTCAAGTTGTTATCGTAATATTACAGAGAATATATCTACATATGCCAATACTGTGAAATTATAATAAATATAGGAGGATGGGACAAGGTATCACAACTTGAAACTCTTGGATTTATCAAGAAAATGTTAAGATTTTTTCTACATTTCCCCGTAAATCGAATATTTTTCAGGATAACAACCATCTTTCTCATCAAATGTAAACCTAAATAATCCTCATAGGGTCAAAAATTACGTCGCTGGAGAGGGTGAAAACAAGCAGGGGCTCGAACCTATTCGACTGCAAGTGACCGTTACTTTTTGCGTTAATAATCCTATCCTTTTTTTATTTCTATCAATTACATTGGTAGTCAGCTTCTGAATGGATCCGCAGCAATTTCCCTGTCCTTGTGGCAGACATACAACCGTAACCACATGCTACAGGGTATCTACAGGAAGATATTCAAACTTTTAATGAAATAGATTTATACAAAAGGGTAAATATCTCCGAAACTGCTCGGCTGATTGCACCTATCCAAAATACCACCCTTCGATATTGTAAGTTATAATCATACAAAATTTTAACTTGCTATCTCCACTTTTTCTCAAGTTATCGTGCGTAGTTTCCGCCAGAAAACTCCTTAGGGACCAGAAGTGTTTTCCGTCCCGGCGGGCGCAAAGTTACATTTCCCTCCCCCTTCGCTTCGCGGGAGGGAACTCTGACTTTGGGCCTACGCCGAGTCGGAAAATCGCGTTCTAACCACGGGAAGTAAAATAAAGGACCCTCAGCCGCGTGCTTACCAAGGTCGCCTTCGGCTCGGCTGGTAATTGCACTGACGACTGAGGATCCTTTATTTTCCCTCCCTACGTTAGAAATATACTATAACAGCTCTATTGCAATCTTCAGACTCTTGAGATGTCAAGAATTTTTCGAAATTGCTTCCTAAATCCAATAGTCATCAGGATAACAATTCAAATATTCAAAAAACGAAGGATAAAACTGATGAGCTGAATGAAAAAAAATCGTCAAAACCTGAGAATAATGTTTTTCCTCATTTTATTTCATCTCCCCCGAGAATCAATAATAATTTATAATACAGTAATTAATATTAACTAATTATTTATCCTCATTACATCAGTGTTCTTTTCGTCTTCGATATCGTTAGTAATCATCTCTCACATTTATATTATATCATTTATATTCACTTCATCTAAACGCTAGTACAGGTATACTGAATTGTTTTTTAATCATCTGTTATTAATAATCACCCCATCTATTCATTATTGTAATTCATTTATGATCATTCTTGTGAGCATTAAGTAGCGTATCGTACAAATATGCATAGTGCCCGTGGACTTGACGAGTCTCATTGATTTACTCATTTACCGAGGAACAAAAAATATCCATTTCTCATATATTTATAGTTATCATTATACTCCCCTTGTTTTGGTTCAATTTCAATTTTCATTATCTTTATTTTTCCAATTATTAAGTTGACTAAATCGATGAATTGAGGTCAAGCGACAGTTTTTTTCTCTTATGACAGAAACTTCTAATGATTTTTATTCATTTCTTTTTATTTATTATGTTTTTTGTGGCTTATTCATCGGTTGGAGGCACTTGCCTGTTAAAATAATTATTCTTTTCATTGAAATTACCCTCCGAATTATCCTAAATACATTTTTTTGTGGCTTAATGATAAAGTTGAAATGTTTTTTATGGGGTTCTTTCTGCGAATATCTCGAAAAATAGTGGGTTTGGAGAAAAATATCAAAGACATGTTCCACTAAACCCATTAGTTCTTAAGATATTTACGGAATAGTCCCAAAGGTTTCTTTCAAACCCAGCGAATTTCACAATTTAGCCAACAATTTTCTGATGACCCTATGAACAAATTGAAAACCCTTAGTAGTAGCATAAGTGGCACATGCTACCATTATTCCTCCATTTATCTAGAAAAACCATAATGACCACAGTTACTTCCTCTCACACGCTTAGGCAGAGCGAATTATTATCAATTAATTAATGGAAATAAACAAATCGATAAATTCAGACTTTATTCCCAAAAATAACGATCTCAACATGATCCTTCGTGCTATTCATCATCGAGGAAAACAGTATCTCCCCAGCTGAATATTCCAGAACTGTCTCTAATTAACAGAAGATGGATGAACAATAATTACGTGCATTTTTAAATAGAAAGCAATATACAGATTTCAAAGAGAATAAACGAATTAAAAATTCCGGTTTTCCCTCATTGAATCCAGTGATGAAGTGGTGACATCATCTAACCAAATTTACCAATTGATTTGAATTGAAATAATAAACTATATTTCTTTTCATTAAAAAAATAAACAATAGATTTTGAAATTAATTTCTGATATTTTTCTCTCCAAAAAACAACTAGTCTCCACTTCCCACTGGAACCAATCGAGCAAAAAAAGTAAATTCACCTACAAAATTCACGTAGCAATACACACACAGACAAATGTCCTCCCCCTCCTCTGAATCAAAAAAAGCATAAGAGAGGGCAATAGTAATCAAAAAGCATCTACTAAAATTCATAAATTTCTCACCTCGAGATCTCCGAAAAAACGCAATAAGACTACGAGAAGTTTGTAAAATTGTCATTGAGAAAATTTTCACATCTATGTGCCAATTGTTTATTACCTATCCATTGTCCAGTGCCTGTATTACTGAGTCACATCGAAAGAACTTCAATATTACATTGATTAAATCCTCATGATCATTCTGACAATTCTTTGAATATCGAAGGCCGTAACAATAACGTCGTACATTGATTCGAGTGCCACAAACACCTCATTTATCTCACCCATGTCCCCCCCCCTCCCCATGGAACAACGGAAATTGAATTTTCATATTTACTAGGATAATCTTGACTTAATTCAAGTGAAAGCCTCGCTCTCTTGTTGCAGCCAGTAGTCTTTCTTTTAAAATATCTTCGGTTGGGTATTCTGGGAGTTTTAGGTAATGCACACAGGTGTTGACGGATGGATAACCACCGGAGCCAGCGTCTACTTTTCGTACTACTGTCAGTCTTGGATGGAGGTTGCAGAGACCACCTGGAGGGAGGGCTGAACAGCCTGTTGCAAATTGAAGGAAGGCTTTTCTTTCGGAGCCTGTCAGGGAGAGGAGAACGTTGACAAAACGCTGGAATCCAGGACTGAAAGAAAAAGTAAATTGAAAAATTATGTAAAGTGGTCGAGGATTGATTTAAATTTAGAGATTGATTTAATTATTTTCATATATTTATTTATTTATTTGTCTAGTATCAACGAATATTAATTTTTCACGTACTTGTGTTTATCATTATTCTCCGTTCGTTTAGGCTCAAATTGAATTTTTATCATCTATATTCATTTTATTTTTTTTCAATTGAAAAACATTATCGAAAATTGAAAGAAAATTGACTAACGCAATAATGAGGAGAAACAATCTCTTGACGAATAATTATTGAACAATATTCAAGACAAGATTTAAAAAAAAAATGGTGAAAAAATGCTCACCTCTCCCTAGTATAACCCAGCTTCGGTTCCGTATAATTCAGCAAATCCTCCCTGCTCCACTCAGGATTTTGTTCCCCACAAAGCATGGCCCTGATCTCCTCAGGACTAAAAGCATGAAGCTTCTCCATAGGAAAGACCTTAGAGAACCCACTTCTGAAGGCCTCCAGCTGCCTAGCAATGCCCCCATCCAAACAATATTTCACCGTCATCTCCGCATACTCCCTGGCATTCTCCATAGTGACTACCACCTCAGCCCCATCCTCCACAAGCTCCACCACCTCATGCCCAAAGACCCTGGACCCAGGTGAATAAGTCATTGTTAAACCGAGCTCCTCAATAGGTACCGAAGCACCGGACGGATGTTGGATCCTCATAGTATCCTCCTCCCCACCCCCCTCACTAATCGTCCTCTCCCTCTTGAGACTCAACATGTGCACCTGCTTGATAAACTCCCCCCTCACAGGATCCACCATCACCAGATCCTCAATATCGAGAATTCCCTCCCACCAGGGACTGGGTTCCAACAGTCCACAGCCCTCCTCCCCCTCCTCAGAGATAAAACTACTAGCCATGCTGCTGGACATGCTCTCCTGAGTGACCCCAGTGAGTCCAATCCTCTCATTAACATTATTAGTGATATCGCCACGACACATGAGTTTCAAAAAGCTCCTAGATAATGGCAAATCCACTAGTCTATTATCCTGAAGGACTTTAGCAAGAAAAACTCCTAGGAACCAGAAGTATTTAATAGCCCTGTTACACTCTTCAGACACCTGAGGCAGAGGCGCTGGGAATAATCCACTGGGTCGAATGACGTAGTAGCCAGGGGGTCTCACATGTTCATCAGAGGGGCAAGACATCTGATTGGGATCCTCGTCGTCACAAAGCCAGAGCCCCAGATCTTTCCTCTGTAATTCAGCAGCCACCAGGGCGAAGAATTCCAAAGTAGGACCAAGACCAGTTCCCTCTTCTCCAACGAACTCAACCTCAAGGATGCTCTTCCTGCTGGAGTGGACCTTGAGGACCTCCTCAGCCCAGTCCAGGAGTTTCTCACCTCGAGGGACTGACACTCTCTCGTGTTTAAGACGACCAACTCTGAATTCGTGGCTGTCATCTCGTCGAGGGGAGAGTCCTGGGGCCCTCTGACGTTCCAGGACAGCGTCTCGTTGGGTCTGAAGCCAGACGATGGATCTGGAGGCGCCGAAGGCAGTGCAGGAGAAGTAGAGACGACGAGTCTCAAAAGGAAGGAGGAAGGGACAGCTTCTGGCAAGCTCCTCACACCAGGTGGGGAGGGCTCCTGCTGCTAATGCCAGAGGATCCTGGATCTGTTGGACTATCTTGTTGGTGATTTTCTTGGAGGTGAAGTCATCTGGATGCACCCAGCAAGACTCCAATGAATCATCTGTTAATGTCTCGTCCTTTTTGTCGTCTCGAGATGTTGAAATCACGTAGACGTGACGCAGCAGCTGGAGAACATCCTCAACTGTGCAGGCATTCGTGCTTTGCGTGGGTTTTCCTGAGTAGAGGGTCACGATGGGGGTGGCACGTCCTGAAGACTCCTCGTCTTTAGATTCTTTGTAGATTATCGTATACGTTGGTTCCCAGATGCGACGAAGTTTCTCTTGACGTGTACCGAGTTCTGTTAGTTGCATCAGCTCTTGCACTGCTTGGAATATACTCGAGTGGGGGTCAGAGAGGGGAAGCTCCACGTCGGGAATCTCTGGGAGGCCTGGACCCTTCAGCGAGAGGGAGAGACGGGGCATTATGGGGGCACCCACTCGGGTGCTTGATTGGGGATCACTTCCTGGTGGGGGCACTTCGAGATCTGTTGTTTGGTTGATGTTTGTTCGACCTGGGGGAGAAGTTTGTGCTATTTATTCGTGATTTTTTTTTTTTAATGGAATATTTATTTGGCTTTCGTATACAATAATAAATAATTGATATTGTTTTATCAAAATAGGAAATGGAATAGTATTTCCCATTTGAATTTAGGAAGTAACTGAATTTGTTGAAAACTGAATCAATTTTTTCCATCAAATTTCGGATAGTGAAGTCCATTTGTTTCATAGAATATCTAAATACTATTGCATTTGAAATATTCTATAAATTAATAATGAATATCATTTCAATTAGAAATTTTCGATTAAAATTTCTTAAAAACTTTTTGTTTGTCATGTGTGATAATTTAAAAACATCAATTATTTAGAATATTGTGAAGGAAAATTCAAATAATGATGGTTGAAAATTAATAAACTTCAAGCAATGAAACCTGATGAGAAATTAGTCGAATGTATTTCATCTATGATTGAAACAAAATTGAAACATAAATAAGTCGAAAAAAATTACCAGGACGAGGATCGAACGCTGGAATGAGCGCAGAGAACTGTCGTTTAAGAACAAATTCATCATCCCAGGCTCGTCTCTTGGACGTCTGTGGTGTTTCTTCCTCCATGAAGGCAGCCAAAAGATTTCTGGAGACCATGACTTCCTCGTAATCACCCTCGCCCCCCTCTCCCTCCTCCTCATTCTCCTCATCGTCCTCCTCCTGGTCATTCTCGTCGTTGTCGTCCTCCTCCTCAGCAAGAACTCCATCCTCATCATCCTCGAGTTCTCCAAGGAGGGTTGGACCCCCTGCTGTTCTAACACCGGAGACACTGGAGCCTGCGACACCTCCACAGGATTCCAGAAAGTCCTCTAGACTAACCTGAAGCCACAACTTCTCATTACATTAAAAAATTTCGTTTCGAAGGTGAAATTAAATCACATCCTCTAGATTTTTAGGTTTCACTTGTTGAATTATTGATTTCAGGGATTAAAACAGGCTAATGAGGGGATTTAAGGTTATGAGACAGAAGATTTCATCAGATTTCATGACAAAAAATTAAATTTAAAAATTTTTTCAACAGTTTTTAATGGTTTTATCACGTAATCAATGGAAAAAATAGATTATTTACGATGTTTGAAGATCTCTGAGCATTGAAATGGGTGAAAAATCCAGTAATTGAAGTCCAAACCTCAACGATTGAGTGAAAAAAATAAAATAAATGTCAGAACTAATCGCCATCTTCTGCCTCAAAAACCATAAAATTAGTAACAATAATCCTCACCTGTTCACTGTCACTGCTGGTACTCGTAAGGGACATGGTGAGTGCCTGCCCAAGCCCAGCACCAGTGGTAGTCGTGACGCCACTACCAGCCACCTGTCCACTGCTCGTTAAGCTTGGATAACTCTGTGCAGTACTCAGTAAACCACCAGGAAAATTTGAACTAAGGGCTAACCTGACGAGACTCGATACCGAATTTGGTCCACGTGGGTTAGATCCTGTGTTTGAGTTTGGTGCAATGTGTTGGCCACCAGATGGTCCTAAAATTATTGTTTAATGCTGATGGATTATTTGTGAAGGATTGATGAGGGTTTGAAGATTTACTTGAACCAATGGGTATAGATAATTAACAAGGAATTGATAAATTTCAAAAGCATTCAAATTAGAAAGGAAATGTACACTGATTTTGGAATTATCTTCATGATGAGTTATTTTAAGAGTAAATGTGTAGCATGACATTTTTTTGTAGAGAATGCTGTTAATCAAAGGGTTCCATGAAAAATGTCAACAGAATAATGATTATTGATGATTATAAATAAATATGGAGGAATTCATAAATGTTGAAGGCATTCAATTCAAATATAAAACGATTACTGTCATTCAAATGATCTCAATAATGAGTTATTTTAACAGCAAATTTTGTAATAAAAAAATCTCTTGACATCTTGTCTTGGAACTACTTCATTATCGAAATAATTAAAAAATTACATTGAAATAAGATGTGGAATGTCTTTGCTTGTCTAGAAGGAAATATTAAGAGAAATGTTTTTCTGAAACAATGAATTCCTAGGGAAATGTGTTAAAACAAACCTAGAGTACGTCTTCGGGCCATGGCAGCAAAAGTCTCTAGTAAACCAGTGGCAGCTACTGGCTCCAGTGTGTTATTAGCATCGGAACACGCAAGATTGGGCACTGAGACTGACATAGGATTGGTTACAACAACTGGACATCCTCCAGCTGGATTCTGAGATGATGAACTAGCGTCCTTGTCTCGACTGCATTCTTTATTTGCTAGTATTGGTATTAATTAATAGAAAAATTAGTTGAACAGTTCAATTGGCAGTAAAGAACACATATTTTAATAAATTTCTCAAAAATGTGAATATTTGGAAGAAATATTTTTATTGTTGCTTTTTTAATTGATTGTCATTGAAATAACTGAGCAATTCTATTAAAACAGCTTCACTGTTAAAGTTGATATTTTAAAAGATTAATAATGAATTCCCTGGGAAAATTTCTGATTGAAAATACAACAGAGGAATTTTGGAATTGATTTTTTAAGGAAAGGAGAGGTTTTTGGATGATTGATTAATGAATGCTGATGAAAATACGTACCATCTTGAGCTGTTAGATTGTGCTTTGGCACTGGGCGGATTCTGAGTGAATTATCCTCACTCTCACCAGACACTGAGATCCTAACTGGCACTAAACCGAGTAATTCTCCACTCAAGAAACTGTTAGTGTTGTTACGCAGTCTATCGGCGCCTTCGCGAAGACGATCGAGCACCTCAACTGCCTCCAGACTCAACAAACCGCTAGCCGGCTAGAAGTTACATTCGTTATAACAAATTAATCCACACGTTAACACGTTATGATCATCCCAACAATGAAATTTTTCTCATAAAGAGTTTGTGAGCTTTGTAAATGATATTGGTCATCGAGAAATTATTATTTTCATTTCATTCAAGTCTAAAATTTCGTAATAATTCTATTATTCGATGATATATATGCATATTATTTAAATTATTATTTAAAAAGACTAAACATCGGAGTTTCCACTTGAACTGCATTTAACATTAACTTATAGAAGTTTTGAAATGATTTTATTATTCTTACTTGGAAGATCTAAATTTCATGCTCAATTTTAAAATATTAGTAAAAATTTCAAAATTCTTCATCAATAATTTTTATAAATATTTTATCATGCATTTTTTGTCGAAAAAAAATCATAAAATAATTGAAAAAATGCAATTCTTAAGAAATGGCAATGGATTTCATGCAAAAAACGTAATTTTTCAATACCAAGTTCACAACAGGAATCATCTCCCTGAACGTTAAAAAAATACCTTATTCCCTCGAACAGTAGTATAAAGTGGCTTGGAGCTGCTGGATGCCCTATTACTATTACTATTCCCCGAGCAATCAGTATTGAGAGCTAAACTCTCAACAATAGTCGCCAGATCACTGCTGACAGTGGACTCAGGCCTGGGATGAAGTACAACACTGAGTTCCCCAGTGGTATTACTGGATCCCCCTTCCCCAGTGACAGCAACCACTGCCTCAGCCCTTGCCACCGAGAGGACACTCTCGGCAATGGACTCAGCAGCCTGTTTAGCTGCCAGATTATCAGCACTGGCAGCCTGATCAGTCGACGCCACTGACCCCCTCATGCTGACGTCTGTGCAATCAGGTAGACTTGGAGTAGAACTGGACTTTCTCCCTGTCAATATTCCAGATCCATTTTTGCTCTTTCCAGAGTCAGCATCGAAGCTAGAGCCCACTAATCTCAGATCGTATTTTCCTTCTGCTCCCATTCTGTAGGAATTGGAGCCACCGTGGTCCCAGGTGACATCGATCCAGCCGTTATGGAGCTCTCCAGTGATGGAACCCTCACCTGGAGGATTGCCATCCTGATCCTTCCACTTCCAGTCTAGGCCTCGGGCCACTCTGGCACCAGCAACGAGGTGACGGAGGACTTGGGTTCTTATTAGTCTTCTTTGCTTTCGAACTCCTGCTTCTGCCTCTCGCGCTGCTCTGCCCAGGTCTTCACAGACTCCTGTGACTTCTCCGTATACCTGGGGGCGAAGGGTGGAATTAGTCATGTATTTTATGGGGATTGGAATTGAATATAGATACAGAGAAATTATTTATTTGAAACAAATGAATAGATTTACTCAAATAGCTGGTAATGAACCTCCTGTTACTCAACTTGCTGTTTAATTGGGTTTCTATTCACATCAAATAAATCGTTTTTGAATACAGATAATTGTTTCCTCGAACTCAATAAAAACTCTATTAGTTAAAAATGAACTCACCATGTAAGTGAAATATTTTCTTTGAAGTAAATTTGCGAATTTATTAATTTCCAACAAAAATGTTTATTGAAATTCTAGGATGATTTTATTATTCGAATTTCGAAAATCTGAATTCTATTCTCCAGTTATTTTACGTTTTACATTGAAAAATTTTACATTTTTCATAAATAATTTATGAACTAAGAATTTATTTATGAACAATAATTTTCTTATTTGATCTTTGAAAATCGAAATTTCACTGTTTAGTTTAAACCGGTAAGAACAGTTTTTTAATCCTAAATAGTAGTGCGAAATATCACCCTTCTCTTAAATAATTTATAAACAATGAATTTTTCGTACCAAAACCTCTTTGTTTAACTTTCACCAGAGAGTTTGAATAAATTCCATTATTTATAAGATGGGAATGCCCGTTCAATTAATTAACCGCCCAATTTATATCGGGTAGTTAGTGCAAAGAGAAGAGACAGAATTTATTAATATATCATAATCTTTTATTTGGATGAAATAAATCGTTTCAATGATTCTACTTGAGGATTTATTTGAAATGAATTAATTATTCATATTATATAATTAGAAAATTTTCTTTGAAATAAAGGTATGACTTGATCAATTTCCAAAAGAATATTGTCAAAATTTTGACTTTTGTTGAACTTTGAAAGTCTAGATTTCCTTTTCAATTTCATACATTTACTTGATTGAAAAAATGGATCAAATAAATTAATTGAAGAAAAGGGAGAGGGGATTTGAAATAATTCCAAAAAACCTAATAACAAACCTCAAACCCAGAAACCGACAGATAATGTGTCTGCCCCGAGGCATTCTTGCCAGTCTGCTGTAGCCTCAGATGCCTCCACCCCTGAGTTTCCTCAGCAGGAGCCTCCAAGGTCCACGTGGCAGTGCTCCCAGGTTCATTCAAACTGCAATCATCCACATGAGTATACAAAGTCGTCCAGTTGATCCCATCCTTGGACACCTGGAACATCCAGTTCCTCAGTGCACTCCTGCCATACCCTCTGGCATGCCTAAGAGTATAAGCGCTGGGTACCAGCCAGACGCCCAGATCGATGGAGAACCAAGCCCTCTTATCGTCATTAGTATGACAATTGAGTGCATTCTGATCCCTGCTCAAAATATCCTCGAGATGTCCATAAGGTAGACTTCTCCCATCACTCGATGTTACCACTACGAGCCCATACTGCCCCGGATTCACCCACTCAGGTGCGGTCTTCGAGTTGGTCCCAATCCAGTAGAGAACCCCATTCTCATCAAAGTCATGCTGATATTGGAAATTCATTCTATTTCCCTCCTTCAATTTTTTAACAAACGTAAACGTCGATCTGTCGTGATCATGCCACTGCTTAGCAATCATCTTGAGCAGATGATTCTCAAGTTGTTGAATTGTACTCAGTGGTTCCATCTTCAAACTCCTTCCAGATCTGTCAATGAGTGCACTTTCACCAGATGCCTTTTCCAATCTAAATCTCAACCTCCTGGTGAGAATCTGCAGCCCATAGCCAGATCCAGGTGTGTCATAAAGATAAACTGGAAGTTTTTCAATGGATTCAAGAACCGAAACGAGTTTTTGAACGAGAATTTTAGCGGAATTTCCATCGTTGGTGTCCTTGGATCTGAAGCAGGTCTTGAAAACAGCAATTCTTTGGAGTCTGAGTTTGGTTGCACGCACTGATGGGGTCTGGGGGGCAGAGGGACCTGCTAAAAGGCCCAGGAGGGCCTGGATGAGGCCACTGGAATGCAATTCGTAGGCGGACACTCGACCCTCTTCGTTTAGGAGGGCTTTTAACTCCTCTAGGGCTGTTTGCAGGACTGAACGCCACTCTCGGTTCCCTGAGAGTTGCTTCTGGCAGGCTTTGTCCACCTGGGAGACTATCGCTGCTAGCTTGGCTACCACTCCTCGAGGCTGGGCCTGGGCTGCTTTGAAATAGTTCTCGTAGATCTCTTGGGCCTGGGTCTTCACTTTTTGCTTTATCGCTTCGATTTTTGAACGCAGACGCTTGCCACGCTTGCCTGCCCATCCTGCTGCGAAGTCTGGGCCTGAAGAAAAAATATTTGGAGGAGTTTGAATTGATTTATTAGAGGAATTAATGGGAAAATATTTTTTTAAGGGCTACGAAAAAGATTTTTCGGCAATTTTTGAAGATGTTACACACTAAAAACTATGAATTATTTATTTGTCGCAATTTGATGAAAAAATTTGCAGATATCCAAGCGTTTTTTAACATTAGAATTTTCACTTAAATAATATTTGACAGGTCAATTTTATTGGAAATTTTCAGTTCTAGATTTTATCATAAATATCACATTTTTCATCAATGGATCAAGGGAACAGTTCTTTCGACGTCTTTGAATTGATTTATTATGGAAATTTGTAGGAAAACGTCTTGGAGAGCTCCGCAAAGGTTTCCTTGTGATTTTTTGAAGATAATACACATAAACAACTGGGAATTATCTACTTGTTGCCTAGATTTTATAAAAATGTCGAAGATATCCGAAGACTTCTATTTAGATTGTCTTCAACATTTATAATTGAATATCAGAATTTCCATTCAACACTAGTTTAGCGACCATTTTGCAATAATTTCATATGAAAAAGTAGTTCTAAATTTCATTCTTCAGTTTAAACCATTAAAAATCATAAATAATTTATAAATTAATTTCCATAATTTTTCAAAGAGGCAAATGTCAACTCAATGGACCAATTTGCTGATTGAAAATCTCTTCCAAGTACTTGGACACCGTTAATGCATATAAAATACTACTTCTGAATACTTCCATAACGTAAAAAAAATTCTTCAATTCGTTTTCAATTTTTCCTCTCCCTTTTTACGTTTAGAATAATGAATATTTTTTTTATAAACATTAAAATTCGTTGAGTCATTACCTAAACTAGTTTCAGCAGTGAATGAATGTTTAGTTCCCCTATTTGACTCGAAAATAAATCCAGGCAAGTCTTCCCTGAGGATGGTGGCCTGCTGCTGGCCATCACTATTATGAATGCATAATTCCCCCTCTTTACGTGAGGACAGAGCCCAGTTTCCCACGACCAATCGAGTGGCACCAGGTCGTGATAAAACTGGTTGGCTCACTGAGTTTGGCTTCACCTGACTGCGCGCACGCTGCAGCTTCTCCAGGAACTCTCCTCGGTTCTCTAAAATATTCATGAAATGAATCATTTTAAAATTTTGACAGGGGTAAAAAAATGTAACAAGTCGATTTTGCACGTTTCGTGTTGTTATTAAAGACGAAATTATCTAAGAAGAATGTCGAGAGACATTTTTGTGGTGAATAATTTCGTAATTAACAATTAAATTCGACTTAATACGTTCAATCGTTCTACTAGAGAATATTATGAAGAAATAATTAAAAATGATGGTTTAATTATTCGGATTCAAATTAGTGAATGACTTGAACCTTGCAGCAGTGTCATAAACTCTGCCAATCGATTATAGCGAAGGGAGTCGTGGATGAACCTACCTTCCGTAGTGAGGGATTCAGTGTTTCGTCCTTTTCCTGTTGACAGTTAGTGAAAGAAAAAAAATCGAGTTATTTTTCTAGACTAGCCCCTCGTTAATTACAAGTGAATGAATAAAGTAATCGATGAATAGACCCAGAAAATTCATTTGCACATGGACTAATTTTTTTATATCAAAAGGAAATGATTTTCACGTAATTATCCAGATCGCCCTATCATCGGCTTAACAAATAAAAATGACGAAATTCTCAAAAAAAAAGTTTAACAAACAATTTCCCTGGGTCCAAAAAATGAAAACTAGCCTTATTTCCACTTTCGCACAATCAATTTACTGCATGATTAATGGAATTTTTAATGCTAACGATATAAATAAAGAATCAAGAACTTCTACTAAAAAAAATATATTTCCAAAATCATCAGGCTTTTTTCAATTTTCTTTTACTGAGTGACTCACCAGTGGTGTCAGTACCTCCTTCAGGGCTTCCACTGGAGTACATAGTGGCAAGTTTTCCATCAAGAATGAATCTGAACCAGCCATTACTCCCGTTGGACAACTCAAGAGCAGCAGCATCACTCCAGACGTAGAGGCAATCCCGCCCTCGACAAATGCACCAGTCTCTCCAGTGATAGGCCCTGCCCACGAGCAACTCCCTGGCGTCCTCGAGCCTGTGCTCCTCCCCAGACTGAGTAGACTCAGACTCTGGCTCTGGAGTCGTCTCCTGGGGGCCAGCGAGGGCAGCGACTTTCGAGAAAACTCCCAGTCTAGCAAAATGCTCGAGGAACTCGTCCTTTCCCTTTATCATGAGGTCTTGGATCATCTGGAGGATTATAAGGTGGCCATCCTCGTCCTCCTGTTGAAGTTACAGACATTGAAATTTATTTTTTAGTGGGGGAAGCTGAGGGCGAAAGTCTCTGCGATCGAATATTAAAATGAAGCAGTAAAAAAACGACGATTAAGCGCATTTCAGGAATTTTCATGTTTTTAGGTGACGCATAGAATTATTAAAGGTGGCATGACGCTTAAGATCATGTGACCTTTAACCCTAGACGGTTTCAAGGGTTGTTTGAGCCTCAAGACCGTTTGAGTCCCAACAAGAAAGGTCTTTGAAGATCATTTAAACGTTCTGAAGGGTCGTTTGACTCTTAAGACCATTTGACCCGCAACTAGAAACGTCTTAAAAAGTCATTTGATCCTCAGCTCCAAACATCCTTAAGGGTCGTTTGACCCACAAAACTATTTATTCAACAAATGACGTCCTTAACGATCGTTTGATCCTCAGAATCATTTAACCCTCAACTACTAACCTCCTCAAGGAACGTTTGACCCTCAAAATCATTCAATTTTCAACTAGAAACATTCTTAAGAGTACTTAGGCCCTCCAGACCACTTGACCCACAACTAAAACAAACACAAACAAATCCTGAATTGTGCTAGATAGTCGTTTTCATTTAGTTCCGCTCCTGGGATTAATTATAAAATAAAATGTCATTGAGATTTTCGTCCCGGTTCACCAGCAAAGACTGTTTCCCTCAGATTTTCCTGAAATTCACCAAAGTAATGAGCATTGCACAAGCAAACCAAAGGACAATCCTCGATTTATTCTCATGAATTTTATTTCATAAGATTCACTTTTTGCTGAGGCAGGCAAAGGACACAGAACATTCGCGTCTCATCGGAAGCTCGCCTCTCTATTTCATTATTTAATGGGGTATTTGTTAAGAAAGTTAATGAATTCTAATGGACAATCCTCGCCTGATCCACCTCCGGCCATCAAGTTTTACCACATTTGTTATTTATCGAGCATCATACAAATTTTTGAATCAAGGGAACTCGTGAATGATTTCAGGCGTCTCTGGGCCAACAGCCAGGGCAATTACAGCAGAAAAACCCAACATGACGACTCAAATTGCTCTATCAGTTCCTAAAGAACTCCAAGAAATTTTTTCTTAAGAAAGTTTTGTTTTTTGAATTCCCGAAAGAACTAGTAGAGCAAGTGGTCGTCACATTGTTCGTTCTAACTGAAATCTTCCTGGCTACCTATTGAAACCACAAGTGTCCTTGATTCAACAATAATTATCCCTAAATAACTCAAGAAATTAAATTAAAACTCTCCAATGAAGTGAGTGGTATAGATGGAGTGAAGAACCTTCTACAATCCTCAAAGTCTCCTGACCAAATAATGCGATTTGGATGGGTCAGGACAATCTTGAGATATTACAGACCAAAATAGGTTCTTTTGCCATCTTTTCTTTAAAACCTAGATCTGACTTTTTTGTTAATTTCGAATTTATCCCAGTAATAAGTGACTCTACGAGATAATGCCAAAATACCTTTGTTGCAGCCAATGAAATTTCCAATAAAAAATATCTTATAACATTACCTCATAAACCCACCCATTAACGAGATAATCTTTGATTAACAAAACTGAAAAATCAAATTCTGACCACTTCACTGTTAAATTCTCAAAAAAGTGAAAAAAAATTGAAAACAAAAAAAATCAATATTTCTACATCGAGAATTAATTATCCTTGAGGCAGTGTCACTCAGTCCCTCTGGCATCTCCTTAACTGCACAAAATAACTTAGAAAATAATCACATGCGTCTGTTAAAAATAAAAACTCCTCTTGTTATCATCAGCCCCTCCACGTCCTCCCAACAATTACACGAAAAAAATTATTATTGTAATGATTAATTAGTAAAATGTATCGTACCCCTCCCCCCCACTAACCACCCCTCATTCGTATTCTCTTATGGGAAAAAATAAAAAGGGAGAATCGATTTATTCTGTATCAAACTAAAAAAAGAAAAGGCAAGGTCAAATTGTTTTATAACAAAACGGATGTTACCGTTTTATCGATAATGTAGTACTGGGAACTGGTATTCTTGCGAGACGTAAGGCAGGGCAATTTGGGGCCGATCAACTTGAGAGGCGGAGGCGGTGGTGGCGTTGACTTAATCTCAACTTCCTGCAGAAAAAATTCTAAATCTTTTCTCTAAATTATAAATGGTGGATCCCCCCCCCCCGTCTACCCAGTTAAACTCTACTCTTTGTTCTATGATAATACCTTGGGTACAATTTATGGGGAAATGTTCGAGTAGAAATTTGTGATTCATTGATTGGAGAATGACATTTTGAGTGGAAGAGAAATTTCGAAAAATTGATTTTTCCTTCAAAAAAAGGGAATTTACCTCGTTAATAATGTGATTTTATGAGAAAAAATGACACAAAAACACATTTTTTTTACACTTTCTGTTAAAAAATTCAACTTTTATCTCTTGACAATTCCGTCTAAACGTTCTAATCTCGTAAAATTTAATAAGAAAATCTATACTTCATCGCCAGAAAATTTTGTATTTCAGTTCATAACTAACCAGTTTAGTCAATCGTCAATGCACTTCGTCCAAACCTTTCAGGTTTGAAATTAATATTGCCTTAATTAAAAAGAGGTTTATCTCGTGGATGTTATTTTACAAGAAAAAAATGTCAAGAAACCATCGTTTCTATTGAAAATTTCTGTCCCTCCCTAAAAAAAAGGAAGAATAATCCCTTGAAAATTCCCTCTGAGCCTGCTCCATATTCAAACGCATTATCTGCAGGTAATTTTCTATCCTACTTTATAATAAATCGTTCCAATCAATCAATCAATGATTCTCCAATCCACTTCCCTTAACCCCCTGGATCCCCTTGAACCTCCTTCTCACCCTTGAACCCCCCTCACCTCATTATCCAGGACATTAGCGATGACCTCAACGAGCATAGCTCCACAGCCAGCAGTTTTATCAGCCCCACAGGTCTCCACCAACAAATCAGCCTGAATATAATGCACCATCTTCCTGATAAGACTGAGACTGGCCTTCCTGACACTAGGTAACATGGTGCTCTGGAAAGTGGCACAGAAGACAGGCAAGAGTCTCCTCAGGTAGACAGGGGCCATTTCAGGGTCTCCCTTGGGTTCGGTCAGCTCTTCAACCTCCGTGTCGACCTTCCTGTGTTCCTGATTAGGAGGTAACATCCACTCTCCTGGACTCTGCAAAATAGCTGCCACTTCCCTGTGCCCCTCGTCCACACGTTCCCTCGCTTTGTCCAGAGGGGTTTTGCCGTCCTCGTCCCTGAGGTCAGGATTTGCTCCGTGTCTTAATAAAACTTTAGCTATTGCAGGCCTTCCAAAACAGGCGGCGTAATGCAGACTCGAGGATCTCTGACCCTTGTTGACGTCTGCTCCTCGATCACAGAGGAACTCCACCATCTCCTGGGTTCCAAAGGCTGACGCCCAATTCAGAAGGGTCTGCCCCACGTCGTCCATGAAGTTTACCTCGATACCTCCCGAGTCTATTGCCTCGATGAGGGCGTCTGTGTCTTTAGATCTGGAGAATGAAGGGTAATTGGTTGACAATTTATTCTGGTCTCAGAGAAATATGCCAAGGATTTTCTTAAGGAGACATTCTTTAAAGAAATGTCTGCTGATGTTTTTTGATGGGTTTGTTTATGTTGGAGGGGTTCAAAAATTGTATAAAGTAGAGTTTAGAGCAGTCATTTTGAGGATTTTAGAGCGCTTTGGAAATGTTTTGGGAAGAAGCAGGTTTAGAGGGAAATCTTTAAGATGTTTTTCTTGGAATTATTTGGAGAATTTCAAAGTAGAACAAATTAAATAAATAAATCACATGTCACAGAATCTTGAGTTGTAAACCTGAGTATCTTGATAATATTTATGGAACTAAAAAGTTAACAACAAAGCCGCATTAGGTATTTTTTGTGCAGAAGGAAATTATAAAAACGAGGTGTTTTGACATTTGCTGATAAATTTGATGGTTCTACGGATATTTGGGAAATTCTATGAACTCGAGAGTAAACTGAAGAATTCTACTGCATTTTGCAACCATCTCTGAAACTAGTAAGTCAAGAGAAAATTTTCAATACATTTTTTTTTGTAGAAAATTAATTTTTTTTACATTCATTTCTAAATCTGTTCTTTTAAAAAATTTGCAAAATTGGAGAAAATTTTGATCTGAGCAATAAATCCAAAAATTTCTAGTCATTTTGTCAAGATCTCTGGATCTAGTAGCCTCAGAGAAAAATATCAAAAGGGTATTTCTCTAGAAACTATAATTTTCTTGAAAAAGTGAGCTTTTTGACATTGTTCCTCAAGTTTATTAATCCATTACATATTTGAAAAATTGAATCAAAGTGTTTTGAGGAACAAATTCATAAATTTCAAATTATTTTGTTAAAATTTCTGCTAATAGTTGAAGCAAAATATCAGAAAACCTTTGTCGCAAAAAAGTTGAATTCTTTCATAAATTTCCTACAATAAAGGAAAGAGATAATTTCCTTCCGACGTTTTTTCATTTTCCTCTCCAAATGCATTCGCATCAGCAATTCATCTTCTTCAATATCTTCTTAAAACGAAGAGTATTGAAGAAAACAGTAATTAATTGTGAATTTATTCACGTGGATGACTGAAGGTACAAAATTGTCATTACCTTATGCAATCGATCAGCTGTCGATGTGATTTTTCCCCCGCACTGTCGAGTCTCCTGAGCCTAGGAAGAAGAGGCCCGGAAGGTCCTCCAGCTGTTCCCCTCCCCAAGGCAGACCTCCCCTCGAACAACAAAACGAGTAAAAGGTCAACAAGTCTCATGGAGTCCAGTGCACAACGTTCGTCGCCTTTGAGAGCCTTCTCAATGGCGTCAGGGAGCTCCGAGCGTAGGAGATCGTGGGTTATCGATGGGGAGCCTCGACAGAGGGTTGATAAAAGACTGATAATTGTGGAGACAGAGGCGCAGGACTTGGGCTCTGCTGTCGGCATCGTCGATGATGCACTGGAGGGAGGTGGTGTCTTGGGGTTGCTGGAGGTCGCTGTCACCGAGGTTCCAGGGCCTGCAGCATTTGATAATCTGAAAGGAATTCATTCATTCAATTAAAACACTTCATGATTTTTGTCTCTGTTAATGACTATTTGTTGATTATTTTTGTTGATTCAATTCGTTCATGTAATTGGAGTTTTCTTATCAAGATTATCAATGATTTTTTATCATCTTTCGCATCATTTTTAATATCGAGATAAAATAATTATTAATAATAAATGAGCATTGAGCAGATTCAAGTGCATTAAAGACAGAATTATCTCCAGTCTAGAAAAAATCGTGAAAAAATTTTTTTTTTCATTTCATCAGCTAAAGAAAATTCTGAAGATAAATCGACAATCAATGAAAAAAAATTGTTCGAATAATTGATTTGCTGTAATTATTTCTTTTTGTCGAACACCAAAAGTTGAGACAACGGTAGATCCCCCTTTTTATCTCTCGAAATCTCCTTTTTGGACTACGATAATAGTTGAAAATTCAAAATCATCCCAGGGAAAAGTTTTTGTTGAAATGTTTGAGTAGAAATTCGTGATGTATTGATTGGAGAAATTACATTTTGAGGGAAGAAAATCCCTGGGAGTGACAAATTTGTTTCAAATTTGGAAATAATTAAATTTTTTCTCTTTGGAAAAGGAATTCATCTCAATGATAATATGATTTCAAAGTCATGAATACCATTAAAAAATCTGCATTTAGAAAAATTTTGTTGGAATTTCTGATTACGCTGAAATTTCAAAACATTTTTTCATTGGAAATTTATGATTTAATGAAGAAATAAATGAAAACTAAAAATTTCAGTTCAATTATTTCATGAAAGTTCATGAAAATCAGAAAAATTTCGGCAAATATATTTGTGAATTTTTAATTAATTGAAAATTCAGAGTTATTTGGTATTAAATAACCATGCTTAGTTGAAAATGCATGTTGAGGAATGTCTTCTTTGCTACTCCAAAATTGAGAATTAAATTGAATTTTCATTGGAATTTCATTATTTCTTCCCCCAAATCGAATTGCGCTCCGAAAACTACTGAACTCCCCATAAAATTTAAATGTTTTTCTCACAAGTTTCATTCAACTCCCATGGAAATTCGAAATTTCAATGCTTGTCTACCAGTATTTTGAGGACGAAACTTACCTATACAGTAATTCCGAGACTAATCCATTAGAAGCTAAAGGAGCAGGATCAGTTCCCCTCCTGGAGAATCTATCAGCCAAAGAGGCGAAGCACCTGAGAGCACCATCAGCCACATGTGCATCCTCATGCCTCAAAAGTGTCGACAAAGCCTCCACACAATCAGGAAGTGCTTTATCCTGGGGTTCGACTTTACCACATAATCTCGAGACGACAGCCATAGCAGAATGCAAAGTGTCTCGATGCACACGTGCCCCATGCTCTCTGATGAAACACAAAGCGCAGGGTAATCCACCTGCTTCGAAAACAGCACCTGCTTCCCGCGCGCAAACGAGCTCAAGGACCTTGATGCACTGTTCAGCGAGATCCCGACTAGCTCGTGATCCCAAACCTGCGCCTGAGAGACGTCCACATATCGCTTTTACTGCGCCCTCCATGGCAACAACTCTGCGGGTGCATTCTGCGGACACGTCGAGGTAGTAGGTGATGGCTCGTGCTGTCACCTCGAGGACACTGTCTGGGGCGTGCTCGTCAAGGAAGATTCGACAGAGAGCTGGGAGAAAGGTCCTTGGGGGGCAGATTTCGAAGCAACGATCCACGTTGTCCGACATGAGGAGGAGCATGCAGAGCTGCTCCAGGGCGATCAGCTGCATGTCTCGCTCGTCCCCCTGGCCCATCGAGAGCCATTCCAGCAGGGTCTCAGGGTCTACTTCTGCCATCTGGGGAGGATGAAGGGAAAATTTCAATTTTTGCAAAGGAGGGCATTTCATGAGAATATTTGGAAGTTTTTTCAAGCTGATTATTCTGTTACTGAGTTAATAGGATTCATTTATCTATTTGGATTTTCAATAAGCAAATTAGACAGTTCATGCCATGAGAATGAACAATGAAATAAAATTCATTAATTACTTTCACTATTCAACTATTTGGATGAATATGAAAAGAAAAATTTGATTAGCTTAGTTGGAAAAATTATTACATATTGAATTAGTTTTCTTTGCTGTCTAAACCCAAATAAATTTGTATGAAGAAAACATTGGTTTATATTAAAGCAACTATTAATTTGATGTGAATAAAAGCGCGAATAAAAATCAAGATTGAGAGTAAATCAAAGTTTTATTGAAGATGAAACCCATTTAATTGAGTCAAATTTCTTCCAATTTAGAATTTAAAAAAATAGCGTGATTTCACAGATTTTAGAGAGAAATTTCTTCAAATAGTTTTCTTTTTAACCATGTGAAATGCTATTTCATGTGGCATGTGTTGATAACTCCGAAATTCCAATTAGTCATGAATTCGTAAAATTGTGACGTGATGAGTCAATCTGATAAGAAGAAAGATTATTGAAGAGTACGAAAAGGTCTGTTGGCACTTTCCATAAATCAGTTGACTATATTTGCGAATTTATTAGAATATTTTGTAAATAGCTCTGGAATTGGTAGATTTTGAAAAAAAACGGTTTTCTTTCTAAAAAATTCCTTTTCTTAGGGAATTCTAAGATTTACAAAAAAAAGTCTTTCTACATTCTGTTCTGGATTAGTTTCCCTCCTATCAGAAATTTTATGACACTGTGATACAGTAACACTAGTGATAAAAAGGATTATGATGATTATCAGGGGAATGGGGCTTCTGAGGGAAAATGTCAAGAGAACGGTTGTCCAAAGGAGGAAATGCCTACGAAAGGTCTCTTGTTCCTGACATAATTCAGGGATTAATGATTGAAGATTGAATTTTAGATATCTTAGTTGTATAGCGAAAGGAATTTCATTATTTTGATTTTTTTTAATCCAAAGAGCCATATGGTTTTAGTTAATCGTGAAATGGAATTTATTAAACTTTCTGGAACGTTTTTCGCCAATCAATTCTGATAGCTACGAATGGGCTTATTTCCAAATAATTAGAACAAAAGGGATGTATTTTCAGTACATACTCTCCTTCACTTTTAGTTATTACGTTCATATTCTAGTCCATTTGGAGGATAAACAATTGCAAAGAGGTGTAATTCCAACTTATAGGTTCCCTTAGTTGTTAGTAAACGAGTGTTTGGAGTCTGATAACGACTGTTTTTTTACTTACTACAGCATTTTCAAAATTATCTATGAACGCGGAAGGTACACTGAGGAAAAAAAATTTTTTTGCCACATATTCATTTACTTCAGAGAACCATTTACCTTTTCAAAATCATATTTCTCCTATCGAGTCATTCCCAGACGAGCCTGATTAAGTTTTAATTTTGTCAATTATGTTGCTCTAAAGGATGACTATGTTACACATGACCTTGGATGAACTCCTTCAATGATCATTCATTTTTCCAAAATTTCTCATTTTCTAGAGGGAAGAATTTCAATAATTTTTTTAATGTTGAGAATTTTTCCCATCCAAATTTTAGCGAATAGAATTCCACCATTCAACGTCACGTGGTACAACCTACAGGGTTTTCAACTGATAATTATTGAGGAAATCAAGGTCATAACTGAAATGATTATCTTCTAGAGCCATATAATTGTCATAATTGTAACATAATGAGGATTACCTGGGAATAACTTGACTGGAGAATACGGTATTGAAAAACTAAATGCGTCTCTCAAGTAAATGGATTTTTGGCAAAATTTTCTTTTCTCAGTGGAGTGTAAAATGGACCAGGGGACCAAAATGTACTACAAGACACAATAGATCCCCTACTTTTTTTTATTTTAATAATAACTTTATTTACTATGCAATGATTCCTCCATCAAAAAAGTCAACAATACCTTCGGGATGAAATAAGATCAAGGGTACACGGAGAAAAAAATCTTCCCTGAGGCGTGAAAAGGTGATAATGATTTTTTTATTGATTTTAATTTCCCTACCCTTCCCTACTTTATTGTCATTTACTGAATAATGAATTAATGATGAATGAAAGGAAGTCATCATGCACATATTCACAATCTAAATAACAGAATTTCAGAAATTCTTAAGACCCAAATTCGAAACAACGATATTATTTCAACAATAATTCTTGGGAAAAATAACTCTGGAATAATCCCTCAATAGGCTCATAATGATAATTCTGAGACATAATTGGGACGTACGTCCTTTGTAATTTTACACAATTAATGTTTTTTGCAAAGTGTATGACGGATAAAGGGGCGTAACTCCCCACTTACGCCCCTTTATCAGGCATACACTTTGCGAAAAAACATTAAAAATATTAAGGGGCGTAACTCCCCACTTACGCTCCTTTGTCCTAGAACATAGGACATTCCTCCTCTTTGTTAGAGTTTGCTTTGTCAATGAATTTTTGATCAGAAACTAAAAGAAAAGTCGTAAAATATTGAAACGAAATTTATGCCCCTTTGGATTTCAAAAGGGGTTGTTTGGCACTTACACTCCTTTGGAAAAATTGTTTACTTCAGTTTAAAATTTTGAAATTAATAAATGCTCAGGGATACCTCTGGGCCCCTGATTATCTCCGTTACTCACCTCGTCGTTCACCAAATCACCTTTTTGAGAAAATCTCAAATCAGCAATCTGCAATGATACCAAAAACCCATTAGTGAACAGAGCGAATTGAAAAAAATAAAAGGAACGAGAACGACAAGAATCCCTAGACATGAACTTTCTCCACTTCCCCCAAAAAAAATCTAGGCCCACAGGTGCTACCAATACCCTCATTATCACCCCCCTCCCCCTCTCCTGCCATGTCCCAACGGAATCGTCGACAAAGTCGACTGGTTTCAGCTGTTATTTCCAATCAATTGCGAATATTACAGGAATAGAAATAAAGAACAACACAGAGGTAGAAAAGCTTTAATTATGAGGGACCTATCAATGATTTTTAGGAATCTACATAATCAATTATTGATGATACTGGACACTGACTAGAATTACCCTAATTACCACTAATTGTTAACACTGAAATTTGGTGATAGATTCCTGAATAAGACAGGGTAATGTCCCTGAAAATCAGTGACATTACTCTGAAAATTGGAGATAAAATCATGAAAATCAATGATATTACTCTGAAAATTAGTCACAATGTCACTGAAAATTGGTGACAGAATCACTGATAATTGGAAATAATTTATTGAAAATCATATCCCTGAAAATCAAAATTTCTGTTTCTCTGTAAAGCATCAAAAAGTGTGAAATGAAAACACGAGTATCATTGTATTCCTCTTCAAGTGGAGGAATTCAATCAACTAGAGAGAAAAACGAGAAGAAAAAACAAACCTCAGAGCTATTACCATACAATCTGAATGAATGCAAAAGGTGAAATGTATTTGACAACAAATACCGCGACATCAACCGGGCAAAAAAATCTCGGAGAATGTTCTATAGTTAGCATTCAACATATTGACATTTCACCCACTCTCTAGCCGCCCAAATAAAATTCCCTATCCCTCAATCCTTGAAAAAAATGTCCAACCCAAACATCGCAGAATAAAAACTCTCGAATGATCTTTGATAACGAATGTTAATCTACATTACATAAATGCCCATATTGTTGATAAATATGTCAATTATCCAGTGGTCGTCTTTAGGGGGTGTTAATCATCCCAAACCATGAATGAAAATCTTCCAAATTATTGTGCAAAACGAATCAAAGCTCCAAATAACATTTAACCCTCAGAAATCGCCAATAAATTCTGGAAAAAATTCAATCTACATCTTCATCACTTCAACAAGCTTCTCACCATTTTGGAATTCCATCCCCTGATTCCCCCCCCCCATTTCAAAATTCAGAACAAAGGAAATGAAATTAATGGATTAACAATTCTCATTACAATCGTTAGAAAACTAAATATCAATTATGAGTCTTATTGAACCGTTGATAGCTACATTGATAGAGTAGCGAGTTGGTAATCTGAAGGTTGTGGGTTAAAATCCCCTCGTAGGCATTATCCTTGGTCTTTCAATAAAATATTGAAAATAAAATAAAATGATAACTCTTACTTCAAGTTTCATTATAAAACTTGACACTGCTTATGAAAATGTAAATACTCTTGTGGTTGTCCTCCGGAGGTGTTGATTACTCCAGAAGCCAAACGAAAAGAATCTCTCTTTATCAAAACCCCAGGCACTCTCAATCTCCAAAAATTCCAACGAAATCACAAACAATTTGATCTACATCATTACTTCAACCTTCTCCCAAATACCCCAACCGAACATCAACATATTTACATTCCATCCCTTACCCCTCCATCAATTGCACCCTAACCCCCCTCAAAACTTTCCCAGCTAACCAAAAATAAAACCCCCAAAAATGTTCTCTCACACAAAAATTTCGAACAAAAGAAGAAAAATTGAGGAATTGTAAACCTTTGATGATAAATGTTAATCTACATTACATAAATCTTGATATTATTAATAAACATGTAAATAATCTTAAGGTCGTCTTTACTGATATTAATCACCCCAAGAAATGATTGGAAATCCCTTAATTTTTTCCACAAAACGAATCAAAACTCCAAGTAACCATGAAGCTTCTGAATATGTTGAAAAGACACCTCTCAATTCCCCTCTCATTTCAAATTTCAACACGAAGGAAATAAAATTAATGGATTAAAAATTTCCAGTCTTTATTACTGCTGATAACTCCTACTTCAAATTTCATTATAAAAATGTTGATACTGTTTATGAAAATATAAATGCTTTTGTAATTGTCCTCTGGAGGTGTTGATTACTCCAGAAGCCAAATGAAGGGAATCTCTATGCAAACCCTAGACACTCTCCACCCCTAAAAAGTCCAACAAAATCACAAAAAAAATTGATCTACATCATCAGTTCAACCTCCCCCCCCCCCAANCAAATACTCCAACCGAACACCAACATATTTACATTCCACCCCTCTCCCTTCATCAACTGCCCCCTAACCCCCTCAAAACTTGCCTAGTAAACAAAATAAAACCCCCAAAATGCCCCCATACAAAAATTCCGAACAAAAGAAACAAAATTGAGGAACTGTAGACTTTAGGATTGTTAATAAGCCAAAGAAATGAATGAAAATCCCCTCACTTTTTCCACAAAACAAATCAAAACTCCAAGTAACTATGAGATTTTTCAATATTTCAAAAAGACACCCCCCAATTCCCCTCTCATTTCCAAATTCGGGACGAAAGAAATAAAATTAGTGGATTAACAATTGTCAGTCTTTATTACTGATAGAACTGAATATCTAATGATAATTCCGACTTCAAATTTTATTGTAAAAATGTTGATATTGTTTATGAAAATATAAATACTCTTGTGATTGCCCTCCGGATGTGTTGATTACTACAGAAGCCAAACGAAGAGAATCTCTATCAAAATCCCGGACACCCTCACCCCTAAAAATTCCAACAAAATCACAAAAAATGAGATCTACATCATCACCTCAACCTCCCCCCCAAATACTCCAACCGAACACCCACATATTTACATTCCACCCCTTCTGCCTCCATCAACTGCCCCCTAACCCCCTCAAAACTTGCCTAGCAAAAAAAATAAAATCCCCAAAATGCCCTCTCACACAACAATTCCGAACAAAGAAAATAAAATTGAGGCGAAAAAATCCTCGTAATGACGGTTGTGTCTCCTCTCCTCCGAATGCCCTCGTGCGTCTAACAGAGATAGAACAGAAACACGACCGTAACGTCTCCCCAAATCGACTTTCCCCACCTCAAAACCCCAATTGCCCCCCGAATCCCTCATTAAACTTCCGTAAAACGATTCTAAAACGTTTGAATAATAACGAAAAGCCACATTGCAGTTGCTTCTGATGTTACGACGTTCTCGTACGATAAAAGATACGTACCGTTGAGCACAGTGTTCCATTATTCGTGGGGTCAAGTCGCCATCCTTGTCGACGACAGCACAAAACCCTTTATTACACCTGAATTAGTCAACAAATATCGTACTATTATTACAGGTATATCGATGCACTTTTGTGAGGTCGCGGTGGCAGTCGTTAATTGCGATGATGACTCTTTGTTAATTTTGTTTTGTGAAAGTTTTTTATGAATTTTTCCACCAGTGTTGTAGACCGATATAACTTTGCCATTTACGTGACGTGCGACTGCTCCAAGCTCCCGCAACGTGAGTCATTGCATTGACGACAGTGGCGTTAGTTGCTTCAAACACTATCCCCACTACTTTTTCGAGAATTCGACGGTGGCGACATCCGGCGGGACATGCAGGTATGATATGATTTCTGAAATTTGAAAATTGGGTTTAAATATTTTTTAAATCGTTTTCGTTTTTTCGAAATATATCTCGAGAGGGTATGATGCCAAGAGAAACGGTGATAAAGATTGTTTATGGAAAATTTACTTCTCTACAAAAAGTGTGCTTTGAGATTTTTCAATAGCATTGATGGTTTCCGAAATATTTACGAAATATCATGGGAGAATATTCTAAGCGAATAAAGACTTTATTTCATTTTTTGGAAATATTTCGGAAACTAATGGAATTATCCGCAGACCTTATCAAATACTTCACAGATCTACAAAAAATGTCAAACGGCAGATTCACAGAGTCACGAGATATTGGCAAAATAATTCGCCGATTTGTCGCTAACAAGATCTTCATTCCACCGTTTCATTGATATCTCTGGAAATAATGAGTTGAGAAAAAGCCTCAAAATATATTTTTCACGGGACGTTCAATTCTCTGCAAAATATATTTTTTAATGGTTTTCGAAATATTTACAGAAAAACATGAGGAGATATTCGAAACGAATCAAGACTGATTATTTCATTTTCTGCAAATATTTCAAAACCTAATAGATTTGTCCAAAAACACCATTAAACATTTACATGTATAATTACGAGATCTAACAAAAATGTCAAGTGACATTTTTGCCAAATCCATTGGCTCACGAGATATTCGCGAAATAATTTACCGACTCACCGCAAACAGGATCTTCATTCCACCATTTCATTGATATCTTCCGAAATAGTGAGTTGAGAAAAAAATCTCAAAGAACATTTTTTATGAAAAAGTCAACCCTCTACAAAAAAGATTTTTTGATGTTTTTCGTTAGGACCTGGTTAGGACCAGTTAGAACGTGTAGTTCCCGAGATTTCTACCAAAAATTGCGTGAGAAAATCTTCAGGTACGTGGGAGAAGTCCCTCTTGTGTGGGGGTAAAAACATCAAAGTGCGTTGGGCCAATGGGGTGAGACCACGATCGCAATGGCGGTGTGGCCTGCCAGTTTTGTGATATCCGACAGATAGGCACTAGTTTTCATAAGAGAAGTTTCCATTATTGTTGACAATTGTTTGAGGACTTTTCCTACTGTTATTTTTTATATTTTTTGTTGATCATGTATTCCTGTGGACTGCTGCTGGTCCTCTTGAATCTCTCGTCAGACGGTAAGTTGAATCATAACCTTTTAATTGGAGATTTAAACGTTTGGAAATATCGTCGAGTGTCTTAGTCCATTTAATGATTATTTAAATTCATCTTCCGGGGGTTTCAGTGGGTGGAAGTGTCTCTCAGGCGGAGGTAGACAGACATCTGGAGCAGGGGAGAGAATTTCTCGCCATGGGAAAACTCCAGGATGCATTGACAGAGTATCATTCTGCTGTTCGTAAGTTGTAATCCTAAGGGAATAAAAATAACAGGTTTTAGTCGTTCATAACTTGAGATCGGTAGAGTGAAATTCAAAGTTGACTTTCGCATTTTGAAGGGATTTTTCCAAGCTTTGAATTGTGTTTTGATTCATTTAAATTGGATCATTTGGTTGAAAGATATCGAGGATTTGGCGGGGTCATCAGCATTTTTTTAGAGGGGTTTTAGAGAAAGAGCATTTTAGGATAACTCGTGAAAATTACTAGTTTTGTCGTCTCGATACAAGAAATATATGAAAAACCTTCGGGAGTTTCGAATGAGGAGAGAACATAGACTCAGCGATGACGAGGTCTTAGTTTGGCTGCTGGGGAGTCAGCTTGTCGAGGGGACAAGCTGACTAGTGGACGTTGAGATCGAGATCTAACAGGGGATTGGGATTCATCTGTGAAGGCAGTCGATACGCTATATAGGGGTTTCCGGTATTACCTCTATTCATTACAGTCGTGTAATGTTACGGCACATTTCATTACAAAAAGTCATTACGGGGACAATTCATTATAGCATTTTTCATCATATGGACAATTCATTACGGAAGTTTTTGTTATTGCGGGATTCATCAATTGACATATAAATTCGAGGCTGTTTGTATTTTCTTCCCATTTGGAAGTAAACACGAAGTTGAGCAACCATCATCGGAATCTATTTGGGAACAGTACAATGCTGGTCGATTGGTGATACGTCCTAAGAGGAAGAAGTACATCGATTATGATGCCCGGCTTTTTACAGTCGTTATGGAGTGGAGCGAAGATGCCGATATCATTGAGTATTTCCGTGGAGTTGCTCATAGTATTCAGCCGTGATTTTTGATCGTGATATGAACGATGCATTGAATTCAAATTGTAATGATGGAAATATGATGATGAATCATTGTTGTGATGGAATGTGCTGTAATGAAATATTCCTGTAATGAAATGTTCCTGTAATGAAATGTTCCTGTAATGAAATATGCTGCAATAAATTGTACCGTAATTAAATGGTATAATGAATTGTGCCGTAATGATTAGAGGTACAATCGGGGTTTCCAATATCAGTGATTTTTTCGCATCGCATGTTCTTTTCTACCGAATAGGAAATTACTTTTTAATCAGTACTCCCAATAATAAAAAAAAGTTAATAAATTTTATTTTTCTTGAATTGCGTCAAACGATCGTTTTTTGGCTGTTTCATTTTGCCCCGCTATTTCATGTTGCACTATTTTCCCCTACTTTATATCATTTCTGAACTATTGGAAGTTAATGAATCACATTGAGCGATTAAGGATTTAAGAAAGTCATTATCACTATTGTCCTACATTGAGAGAAAAAAAATATTTTCTCAAATAGTTTCTGTTTGAACCAAAAAACTCGCTAGTTGAAAATGATTAAAAAAATGGAATCTAGCGCTGACCATTTAAAAATTATCCTCAGATGGAAAATTTTTGTCGCAAATATAGATTGAGTAGTTCCAAAACTTGCCCAAAACAAGAACAATTATTTTCGCCTCGGGGAGCTTATTCTCGACTTGTGTGAAGACGAATTTGGATGTGAACGAGGCGTCGTTTACAGATTGTGTTGGGTATTATTGACGCGGTAGCCTTAAAAATTGTGGAAGGCCCCTTTACTTAAGATAGTTGATCTCCGGTATACCGATGTTGCAGCAACGACTGATACGGGAACGTAAACCGAGTCAGTATAACTGGACAAATTGGGGTTTAAGAGTTTCAAATGAAAATCACTAATTCACAAACACCTTGACTTTAATTGCACAAAAAATAACTGTTCTTTTACAACACAAATACACTGATAGAAAAGATTAGTTATTGTTAACGAATGGATTTGTTCATTCGTTAATAGTTAACAAATGCATATTTGAGGAGCCTTGCTTGACTTTACTTTCACCTTTCAAGTGAACCATTCGTTAACTATTAACGAATATTCATTTGGTCATATTCAACTCTACCATTCACTGATAGTTAACGAATCTCGTTTGGAATGAATGAATCAGTCTATCAGCGCAATGTCTCGAATTATGAGAAATGAATTAAATAAAAGTCTAAATTGTCTGTTAATCTAGGAACAATATTACATTTAACTCTTATGTGATGATATTGTACTTCACACAATATAAATGTTTTACTTGGAAGAAAAAATAGTACGGATATATAGAGAGACTCAGTAAGAAAGAAGTCTTCACTGGCCGTTGTCGGGAAGGTAACTAACACGTAGTTTTAGAAAGTTCTAGGGGCCAGTCTACAATAAGCCCGGAACACCAACGGACACAATGATACTCAGTCAGGTCGTAGGTAGACAAACACATGGCCCCGGAATGAGTCCTTTGTGCCCGTTCCGGTCCGGACTTATCGTAGACTAGCCCTAAGTCCGCTTCTCCAAATTGGAAGGGATGAACAATTCTCATTGGCTGACTTATCTTCGCTAGCTTTAAAATTATTGGCTGAAAGAAAGTGAGAAGGTATTGACAAAAATGACAGCGAAGGAGGTTTGAATATTCCCAAAATTCTGGAATACCCTTTTTTTTTACTTGGAGAAAAACGGTTCTTTGTGCAGGAGATGTGGTCCGCACACTGTGGGAAAAGGAGTTTGTAGCCTTCCGACTTTCTCTTAAATTTAAAATTTATGACTTGACCGTAATAAAAGTAGTTTTCCCCAAATTCTCTTTTCGAAAATGGCTCTTTTCTGTGAGAATCCCAAAAAAAGGGACTGACGAACAAGAAATGGGACCCACGGTCTTTATACATATGTAAATAAGATTTTTTTTTCCATTAAGGGGATTCAAACTGTTGGTCTTGCGACCGAATAGATTACACATCATATGAATCCACCTTCACACAACTCGTGAATAAGCCCCCAATATGACTTAAAAGTCATAACAAAAATTTATGTTCTTTTATATTTTATATTAGAGTAGAGGCTTCGTATAAGACACCTCGCACTCCGAGAGCTCGAGGCCTCCCCCCATTGTCAGCACTTTTATTGTCTCCCGAATGTTTATGATCCGTGGGCTTCTTATAAGATACCTATAGCCCCGGTCATTTTTCAACGGGAAGAGAGTAGTTATATGGATCAAATGGTGTTAAGGCTAAACCGGAAGGAACGAGCGAAGTGATCACGACGGTCTAATGACCTTGAGGTATCTTATTTGGAACCTGCTGATCCCTATTGTTCTCCTCTCTACGGGCGTGCGTAGTAGGGACGTAGGAGTTCCCGGAATTCCACACTCCTACTGTCCCTAAGGTATCTTATACGAAGCCCCTACTGTATCTAGTAGCTGATGAAATAACGACGAAAACGGGAATCGGCGTGGAAAAAAAACCTATGGGAAACATTTTTCGAAGGAATAATTTTCTAACAACGATTTTCCACGGAATGGAATTGAGAGAGGAAGAGAAAAGACTAATTACGCATAAAGTAACAGTCACATTGCTTCTGTCGAATAGGCTCGCAACCCTGCTTGTTTTATCCAAGCAAGAATTATTTGAAAACTTGTTCGTTTTCCTCTCAGTGTAAAAAGTTTCGCAGGAATAGGATATTTGGACGTTATTTTGGTAGGAAACAACTTCAGAGAATAAAAACTATAGACCAATAATTTCCCTCTTCAGGCGGTGATCCAAACAACTACCTGACATACTACAAACGCGGGGCCGTGTTCCTAGCCCTCAGTAAATCCAAACAAGCCCTCCAGGACTTCGACAAGGTCCTCCAGTTGAAATCCGATTTCACCGCGGCTCGTCTGCAACGCGCGAAGATCCTGTGGAAGCAAGCAGAGTTCGCTGAAGCCGAGCAGGAGTACCAAAACGTTCTCGACATAGACCAGGACAACGCAGAGGCTTTAGCCGCTCTGAACAACATCAACTCTATGAAGATGGCGTACTCCCTGGCGAAGCAGCAGATGGATGAAGGTCATTACTCGACGGCGGTTGAGCTGCTAACTCAAATCATAGAATTCTCACCCTGGGCTCTAGAACTAAGAGAACACCGGGCACACTGTCACGTGGCCTTGGGGAATCATTTGAACGCCATTCCAGATATGAGGGCCTCTACTAAACTCCTCCCAGACAACACTCTTGGTTATTTTAAACTTTCAACTACGCTTTATCAACTAGGTAAGAAACAATATTGAATATTTCCATTCTGTTCATTATAATTATTATATTACATTATATTAATCCGATAAAATTTTTCATCTCCGATTTTTATTCTTTGCTATTTTATGTATTCTATCAAAATGTGAGGATAGAAATTGAATTGATGGGTATTCTTTTATTATTTGAAAAAATATATCAATTTTAAAACTTTCCGGAGACATTAAAAAATCGAAATTTTTATTTTCTTACGAATCGATCATCATCCCAACAAACAGTATCAATACTCTCCTTATTATTTATCATAAATATCTCTTCATTTGAAAATGAGAAAAACTGTTCCCACAATTTGTATACTACAATGGGAATGGAATCCAATAAATTTAATTTAATCTAACCGCAAAGAAAAATTCCGAAGCGCGAAGCGCCCGTTCGCTAGTATATAGTAATAATCGCATAAAATTTTTAGTCTCCAATTCTCAATTTCTGTCATTTATTCGATTCATTTTATCAAACGACAAGAATAGAAATAGAATTCATGGGTATTCTTCCATTATTCGAAAAAATATATCGATTTTTAAACTTCCCGGAGACAGTGAAAAATTAATGTTTTTATTTCTTCCTGCTTACGTTTTTTTTACATTTCTTGCATTTCTTCTCGTCAAAATTAGATCATAAAATTCAAAAATATTCATATCCCGCCCATATTCAATGAAAAAACAGGAATTCCAAGTTTCCACTGTCACAAATGAAGAAAAACAAATTTTCTCCATTTTGTAGTCGATCATTCCTTTTTTAAAATTTTTATTCTGCAATTCGTTTTTTTTTGCAATTCATTGCCATTTAGGTACTTCTATTCATTCTATGAAAAGACAAGGATAGAAATCGAATTTATGGCTATTCTTTCATTGTTCGAAAAAAAATTTGATTTTAAAACTTTCCGGAGACATTGAAAAATGATTTTTTTTTAGTTCTTTCCGCCCACTTTTTCTTGCTTTTTTGAATTTCTTCTCACTGAAATATTGATATTCCTCTAATACTTGAAAAAAAAAGTGATTCGAAGGTCCCGCCGACATAAAAGAAGAAAAAAAATCAATTTTCTAGCCGATTATACCTTTCTGATTCTTTTTTCATTTTCTTTTCATAATAATACTTGGAATCCAACGATAGGAACGAGGAGTATTGATATCCTTTTACCGTATGAAGGAAAAGATAGATTTAAAAAATTTTCAGAGATACATGGGATGTCATGGGATTTTTCTATTACCCGAATGACATTTCGAATGATTTTTGTTTTGTGTTTATTTTGATCAGAAAAAAAAACACTTTTGATTGATCTTTAACATAATTCCTCTTCATTTAATGTTGTAACTTGTGAATTAAAGAAAAAATATATATACAATGAGAATAAGAATAGACAAAATTAAATTAATCTAATTGTGAAGACTGAAATGGCAAGAAAATAAAATACTATAAATTAATCTAGCGACGCTAGTTATAATTATAATGATAAATAAAAAAATGCTTTTAGTTTTCAACACATTTTTCAACCATCAACGTCATTATTTCATGAACATCGTTATTATCACTCACTTTTGAGAATATTTTGAAAATTCATTGACAGTTGCATTATCTCCAACATAATGTCATGTCATTGTAGTATCATTTATATCCCTTTTATGGTCGTTTAAGGCTCCCGCTCGTTGAATAGAATCAAAAATTATGTTGAGCAATCACTCATTGACGACAGTGAAGAAGTAGAACGAACAAAAGCGTTTGACTTACTTCACATATTATTTGAATCAGCATTTCATGTGCAACATTGTTGTAACTTCTCAGTTGATTTTGCAATCGTTTTCATATATCTTTTTATTTTTTATGTATTTATCACGTAAGAATAAATATGAATTAGTTTAAAATAAAGTAATACTCTTATTCTAACGAATGAATAAATTAAATGTAAGAGTGTACAGTTGATTAAATATCGGATTCATATTGAAGACATGAAGAAATTGAGATTTCTGCTTCGCAATAAATGTTGAGATTCCAACGACAACAAGAATTATCAAATTTATTCTCAAAATTAAACGTCATATTGACATGAATTTGGAATAAATGTAAAATCGAATATGATAGTCGTTTCAATTTTCATAATTTTCAAATGAAAACTTGCTTTTATTGTGAATGTCACAATTATCACATTTCATGAATATTACTATATTATCTGATCCCATCATGAATATTTTTTCATAAATATTTTCCTCGTAAAAACCCAGTTGGGAGTAATTTATTGGAATTCTCAAATTCCCTCATTCTTCGACAAGAAGTAAGCCTCACCCCAAACAATCACTCGTTTTTAACATCCCCCAGGTATGGTCGAAGACTCCCTAAGAGAGATTCGAGAATGCTTAAGACTGGACTCAGAGCACAATCACTGTCTCCCCTTCTACAAGAAATTGAGGAAAATCTCCAAGAAATTGAAGGAGGCGCTTGAGGCTGAGGAGTCTCGTGATTTCGAAACTTGTGTGTCCTCTGCTCTCTCCATCCTGGATCTGGAGCCCATCGTCGACAACGTCCGCTTCATAGCCCACCACTTCCTCTGCAAGTACAGCGGAATTGGCGACGACCCCAACCTGGCCATCAAGCACTGTCAACAAGCCGTGAAAGTGAGACGAGAGCCTGGGATTCTCTGCGACAGTGCCGAGGCCTACCTCAACGCAGAGATGTTCGACGACGCCATCAGGGACGCTAAGGAAGCCCTGGAAATGGACGAAGGGTTCCAGAGGGCGAAGGAGCTCCTGCAAAAGGCCCAGCAGGAACAGAAAAGGTCGGAGCGTCGGGATTACTACAAAATCCTGGGTGTCCACAAGACAGCCACCAAGCAAGAGATCATCAAGGCATACAGGAAAGCTGCCCAGAAGTGGCATCCTGATAATTTCCAGGATGGCACTGAGAAGAAGAAGGCGGAGAAGAAGTTCATTGATATCGCAGCTGCCAAAGAGGTCTTGACTGACGAGGAGAAGAGGCGACAGTTCGACAGGGGGGAGGATCCACTGGATCCTGAGAGTGGAAAACATTCGGGCTTTAATCCCTTCCAGGAGTTTCATCGGTTCCATGGCTCGCCTTTCCAATTTAAGTTCCATTTTAATTAGAAGTTGTTTTTTTTTAATGAGAGACTTTGATCGGTGGAACAGAAAAAATGCTTCTTGTTTTCAGAACTCTTTTAAGGGAAATTTTCACGTGTTCAAGAGAATTTTCGCTTATTTTAAGGTATTTCTGATTCTGGAATTTAAAATCTTGGGGATATCGGAATAACATTTACATCAAAAGAATTAGATTAAATGGTTTTAAATTTAAAGATTTTTCTCACTGAAAATTAGTTCGTCCTTTGGTTCTAAATTTTGGTAATCAATTTCTTATTGTCAGTACCATGCCTTCTAGATTAGTATCTTGGTTTTGGAAACCAGAAACTTTTTTTCTATAAGTTTGGTAAATTTATAATGGAGGGTGGAAAGTCAAGGGATCTTTTTGTACATATGTCTTCGATCATTATTCAAGGGAGGAGACAAGTGGTGAAATGATTTTAATAGAAGGGAAGAAGAAAGATCAAGAGTTTTTTGAGATAAAGATAATTTATCATCGAGTCTCTTCATAGAATGCTAATTCGATGTCAGAGATTTTTTCATTTAATTATTTATCTAATCTATTCTTTTGAACACAGATTAAATAAATAAATCAATAACAATTCTATTCGATTAATTATAGCATTATCTGGAGAATATCAAACTCTCGAAGATTCTCGACATCACTCATTACCGAAATAATTGTGGATTGGAAATAATTTCACCATTCGACAGATAAAATTGAAAATATGTAATTTATAAAATCGTATTGAACAATTCTCAAATTGTAAATGATTTTCGTCATCAAACAATCCAAACATTTTATTAATTATCTCCCTTCGACGACACAATCTCTTTGCAATTTGTATATTTCTGGAAACATTTGCAATCCTAGTTTCCCCTAAAAATAAATACGAAATACTATTTAAATGAGATACCGCCGAACTGTACAGAACTGTAATATTTTCCCCCATTTAATCTTCCGTGAAGGTCAGTGGATTTGAGTCTAGGGAGACTGAAGTTCTAGGGAAATGACCACAGGTGGTATCAGTTAATCAACTGCTTCTTATGTTTATACCAAGTACGAGAGGTGTTTTTCGTATGACTGAGTCGAATGGTTATTTCATGTATATATGGATAAATATGCAGAACTGTATCTTATGATGTTTGTATAGAAATATATCGAAATCATTTATAAGAATGTTTTTATTGTAATGAGAAATTATTAACACTATTTTTTAATTATTTTTATTTCGATTTCTTTTTCAGAATTTTCTTCGTTCATTAAAAAAAATCAAGTGAACAATTCAATTTAAATACTTGAGAAATTATTTTTAATTGCAATTTCTGGGAAAAAAAGCAACTTTTTTTAGTTGGAGTCCTGGAAAGGGGTAGTTGAAGGTAATTATAATAATTTTGAATCAATATTTTCCATTATTTACGTATTTTTTTTATTGAATGTTTCTAATCGTTATTGGGAAACACTTTCTTCTCTCATTTCTGTCCACAATTATTATAAATCATCATCTGCATTTTTGTGTATTAAAATTTGTCAGGTGAATGTAACCAATAACATTATTGTGTTTTTTTTTCTTTTATGCGTACATGTTTCTCACACGAGGCGAGCCCTTCCCAATTTTCATATACAATGAACATCATCTGTTTAATCTCACTCGCCTCAGTGTCACGCCTACAACTAAATTGTCTTTTTCAATCGGGGACACAATTGGTGCAGAATAACTTCAAATCATAGGCCATCCAACAATTGTCAGTGGTGATATAGTTATAAGATTTGAGCCTACAGATATTTTCAAATTATTCATATTTCTTGCATGGTTTCAATTCCAAAAAATCGTAACCAACCTATATTATTTACATTATTAATTTTATCATCCAAAAAGTTTCAAAAACTTTTCGTAATTTTTCAAAAAATTTTATATTTTTTCGCAATTTTCTAAAATGATTTTTCATAAAAAAAAAAATCTCGTCAGAAATTATCAATAGTTGAAAAAAAAATTTTCTTCCAGTTTTTTAAAATATTTGAATTTTTCCTTTGAAAAATGTTTTGAAATGAAAAAGAAATTTCCTCTTCAGAAATTTTTCAAAATTTCTCCCTGAATTTCTCGAAAATTGTTTAGAAAAATCCCAAAATTTTAAATGTTTTCAATTCCCCAGATATTAATCAACAGCTGTAGACCCAAATCTAAATAAAAAACTCAAAAAAGTCGTACGTCATTGTTAACGTGATACTTTAGAATAATATTAGGTAGGTATAATTGGGTAGTTATTGCCTATGTACACTTCGCAAACTGTATCTACAGTTGCGTTATGCTACGATTTCATTTTTCTTGGCGAATTCACTTAAGTAAAGCTTACAGTTTTGCATAAACTTCATTTAGGTAGTTTAGGTCTTTAATATAGGTAATAGTACTCTCATTATCGATTTAGAACAATTGTACCAAATCGTCTCACATGTACACATCCTCTCCCCCCTCCACGATCTCGTAAGGATAAGTTATTCTCATACATCACCTGTATGTTTTGGTTCTGTGAAATAATTAAGATTTTCAAACATTTTTTTTATTCATCTTTAATTAATCATTAATCCATTGTTTACTGTTTATAACTGGCCAATAAGTATCTGCCACTTTTTATTTATTTTTCTTATATTATTAATCTATCTCCATTTTTGTTTTTTCCACTTTTCATCTTTTCCCTTGTTTTTTTCTCATATTTACAAATAATATACAATAATTCTTTTACGATTAATAATTACGTAATAATAAAACTTTTAATCGCAATTATTCGTAATAATTATAAATAGAAACTTGACCGAATAGTTCATTTTTTAAACTGTTCTCTCTGCCTTGTGCACTGGCTCACGTAAACTCATCGGAATATAAATACATTTTCTTACTTTGTTGCATTACTTCACACATTTTTCAACTTCACTCTTTCCATTTTTTTAATATATAAAATTTGTATAATCTACATGAATCACTTTAAGTATATTTTCTCTTGTTTTGTTTTCTATGCTTGTTCATCCTCTTCAATCACAAAAAGATATAAAGATGATGAGGAGATAAGTAGGGCCTCGTTGTGCCTCACAAACTGGCAGTTAACTTGTTACGCACCCAAAAAAAATTACATGATTCAAGTTCATTAGCACTTGATTATGGATTTTTACGACTGACATGAGACTTCAATTGGTTTTTTCTCCGTCCATCAATCAGACAATTTTTTAAATTGAGTCAAGTAGTTCGTGCAATTGAATCGATTATTTTTTGACTTGATATTTGACAACTTGAATGGACTGAAATCTCCATTTTTATCGATAGACCATTCGCGAGATATTCGAAAACTTGAGTCAAGTCATTTGAATCAAACCAAGTTCATCTATACTTCACTCAAGTTCAGTAAGACTTGATTTTACATTTTGACGAAAGATATAATGAGACTTAAATCGAAGCATTTTTAAACTCAAGTCAAGTCAGTCTCAGATTCAAATCGAATATTTTGACTCAACGAGTCATTTAAAATTTGCATTGAATCATTTTATCATTGCTATTGAATAACAATTCAGTATTGTTTTCCATGACATTGAAGGCTTTGAGTCAAGCTCCTCTTAAATTTATTGAAGATTTTATTCTACTTGACTCACGTGAATAAGACTTGAATCAAATCATAATTCTGGGCCATATTTGAGTCCTGTCTTTTGAATCAATTCAAGTTTATCTAAACTTGACTCCATGAGTCATTTAAAAGTTGAATTAAGTCATTTTATGATTGCTATTGAATAACAATTTTATGTTGTTTGCCATAATATTAAAGACGTTGAGTCAACGTCCTTTCAAATTGATTGCAAATTTTATTCTTGACTCAAGTGGATAATAAAATTTGAATCAAGTCTTTTGAATCAATTCAGGTTTATTTACTTTATACAAAATAGCCAAAACATAATTTCATGTCTTCCCGAAAAACATAAGAAGACTTGAATCAAAGCATTTTTAAACTCAAGTCAAGTTATTCTCAGATTTAAATAGAATATTGTCACTCAACAAGTCATTTAAAACTTGAATTGAGTCACTTTAACATTGTCATTGAATGCCAGTTTTATATTGTTTTCCATAATATTGAAGACTTTGAGTTAAGACAAGTGAATAATAAAATGTGAATCAACTCGTAATTGGAGAGTATGTCCAACAATAATTGGAAACTTGAATCGACTTTTGATTCAATTTAGGTTTGCCTATACTTGACTCATTTTTTAATTCAATATCTGGTGACTCAACAAGTCATATAGAAACTGATTTCAATCACAATTCAGTGGAGTTCCTTGCACTTGACTGAAGATTTCCTTATGCTTGATTCATCTATATATCTGACTAAATCCAGAATTTTCAACCAAGACGTAGTAACATTCGACACAATCCAAAATTGTAGAATATCTGAAGACTTGAAACAATTCATTTGCAAACTTGCATCAACATAATTCCATTCTTTTTTGGGTGCATATTTACTTAGTTGCATCATAATTTCTCCACAGCTATTACTTCAAATTCAATTTTATTTCCTCTTCAAATAAACACAGTTATTCCCTACATTAACATCAGAACTTCATTTTCGGCGACTTCATGAGGTTTTGGAAAAAAAAATATAAAGAAGTATTTCAATTGACTCGTTGATTGCATCTATAAAATAAAAACCATCACAAGAATATAAAAAAAAAACGTCGATTTCATCAGTGAAATGGGCATCACTAATCCCCCCAAAAATCATGCAGATGCATTTCCACACACAATGGCCACTTTACCCCGAAAAGTCACTTGAAAAAAATTTGGAAGAATATCATACTCTTTTGGTTTACGTGTCGCACGATATAGTATATAATATCCTCGTCAAAAAAAAATTTTTCCCTAAACAAAAAGGAACACTGTATACGCTATTATCCATCAATAAGCAGGTTTACAACGTTTGAGTATCCTTAAATCTATCGAGATTATTTACAAAAAGAACTGAGAAAAAAAATATTAAAGATAAAATTCTGTACAAGTAATAATAGCCGACACTCAGTCGACAGTAGACCGCCCTCAAAGACCAATCAGAGGCCCTTAATCAATATTTCACAGTTTCAATGGTGCATTTGTGAAGCAGTTATCTCGTTAATTGTGAAATCTGGTCCATTTTATCATGCTTTTTTTTTCTCAAATTTATTGATTTAAGACCGACTCACAGCCACAGCCAGATCATATTAAAAACTGTAACTGCAGCATTTTACCCTTTCAATATAATTAGGTAATTGTAAACCTAGTATGCCCTAGCATTGTCCATAGGAATATTACAATTAGATCTAAAAAGTGTTTTGTACCATTGGTTTAGGTGAGAGCACCCACGTGACTCCATTGCGTCAATAGTCATCATAATTGTTGGCCATTTCGGTTAACTGTGAGGATTGACTTGGTGTCACTTGTTTTATGACTTGAGTCTGATGTTTTTTAATTTTTTTGAAATTTGATTATTTTGAAAAGGTGACATTTCTTCTTTTTTCACGTTAGGGGTTATTTACTTTAGGTTCATTCGAAGAACGCCAGAATGTCATCATTGGAGGAGGGATGGCCACTGCTTGCTCCACTGCTTGGGGGTGTGTTGAGATCGGGGGGGTCCAGGTAGGAGAGCAACTCCATTGGATCTACGACGTTATCGGGCAATAACTGAAATTTATAATTGAGAAACAATTAGTTTTCTTATTCTTATACATTTTCTCTTTATTTATTTTACATTCATAATTTTATTGAATCATTTTTTTCATGTCAAATACTCAAAATTTTGTGGATAAAATCGAAAAGTTTTTCTTTCTTCGTAGTAAAAGCAATTGAGCAGTTCTAATTAATATATTTATCATTGTTTTTTTCAGAAATGTTAAAGTAAACTAATACATTGACACCGAAAAAAAAATTATTTTTGCCAAATATTCATTTACTTGAGAGAAGCATTTATTTTTTCAAAATCATATTGTTCCAATCAAGTCATTCCCAGGCGAGCTTGATTAGGTTTCAATTATAACAATCATGTTGCTCTAGAGAATGACTGTGGTGCATATGACCTTGGATGAATTCCTCTGATGGTTAGTCACTTTTCCTAAATTTTTTATTTTCTAGAGAGAAGAATTTCGATCAATTATTTAATGTTGACAATTATTGAAGGAGTTCACTCAAAGTGATAATTAACATGATCATCTCCTAGAGCAATACAATTGACATAATTAAAACTGAATGTGGATGGTCTGAGAATGACTTGAATGGAGAAAACAGAATACGGTATTGAAAAGATGAATCCTTCTCTCAAGTAAAATGGATATTTCCCAAAAATATTTTTTTTCTCAGTGGATGAGCAGTTGAATGACTAGAAAATATGAAAACCTTATTCATTCGTTCGTTTCCAGCTTCGAGTTGAATTTGTCTAATTATCATATTTTGTGAATAATTTGAGATACTTACGTTCAATGCTTCTTGACCCGTTCCCTCGCCATCGATAACCGCCGCAGGATCAAAATTAAGATCAGAAGGAATTTCCGTTGTTTCATTCCCGCTGATATTTGTGCTACCATTACCAGAGGTATTGTGATTCGCGGATTCCTGGGAGGCTGGTGGTACGCTAGGAGGTCCACTGTTGCCACCCCCAGGAGTGTGAGGAGTGTGTGGTGTATGAGGTGTGTGAGGCGTATGAGGCATCTGTAATCAGCGCAAAAAAAGTTAAAATTCTATCCCTTTTTTTTCTCATTTGTCACAGAAAAAAAAGAATTGAAGCGAGATAAGTCAATGTTTCAATATTCAAACAATAGCTTTGTCATTTGGCGTAAATTTAGTAGTGGAAATATTCCCAAATATTGGAATTGTTACTGATGCTGTAACCATCATTGCCGATACGGTCCATGACCTAGTAAAAGCATTACTTTGATTTAATAATTGACCTGTTTCTTTAACCACCATCTTGGATCTGCTGACCTTACCTTGTACAACTACTTATTATTCATTTCCTACCTATCGTTATTACATTCTACTTTGCATACATTGAATCCCATTATTGGCTTCATCTGTCGGATTCGTGTTCAATGAATGAATAAAAGAACTGACCATACATTAGAGCTTGTTACAAGGCCGAGGACGCTTAAGGCGTTTCGTGCGAGAAAGGCAAATAATGACATTCATCTGGAATTCACATAGAATGTTTATAATCACAATTGAATTATCGATGAATTTTCACAGAATTTTTTCAGATTTCCTTTTCAAGTTATTAAAGATTTCTGTTTACATGAAACTATATTATCAGCTCAGATGGTAACGCAGTTCCATGAAAAATCTTCATAAGAGCCCCTGTATAAGAAGCGACTTCAATCGTTAATAACTTGAAAAGGAAATCTGAAAAAATTTAGGAAAATTCATAGATAATTCAATTGTGATTATAACCATTCTATATGAATTCTAGATGAATGTCATTATTTACCTTTTTCGCACGAAACACCTTAAATATCAAGCAAAACGTCGCGACTTGACAATGAATTAGTATGGTGTACTGACATTTCCAATTTCTCATGATCCAATGTAACTAGTAAGCGGTAACTCCTTATAGCTCAATAGGACAGACGGGCAGTTTGGTAATGCGAGTATTGTGGGTCCGAATCTCGCCTTGTCATTTTGCGGAATATCGAGAATACTATAGCTTCTTCAGAGCCTGAGGAGTCTTCAATATGAGGTAGAAAAAAATGGTCGCCAATCACTGGCTCAAAAAGTGACTCTCTAATTTTATAACCTTTACCATCGACTCCTACTATTAAACAAAACATCATAATTACGAGGGATAACGGCCCGTGAAATCTAGAAGTTGGACAGCCTCAAAACTAATACATGAGTTTAAATATGAAGCAAAACGTCGCCAATTGACAATGAATTATAGTATGATGTACTGATATTTCCAATTTCCCATGATCCAACGTAATTAATAGATAATTAATGAGTGGTAATTTCCTATAGGTCAATTGGTTAGACGAGTGAGTTAGTAATGCGAGGGTTGTGGATTTGAATCTCGCCTTGTCATTTTACAGAATGTAAATTATCATTGATATGAAATAAAAGAATAACGAGAAAGAGACGATCGCACACGAAGACAATTGAGATTGAAAAAAGCAAAAAAAACAACAATATTTACCTGATCATTGAGACTCTTCTCCATAGCATTGAGTGGATCTAATGAATTAACAGAATCACTCAGATGCGTGAGAGGTCCAGCGCCATTCGTGTAATCACTCCCGAGACTTGCTCCATTATTGATATCATAGCTTCCTCCCGAAGAATTCCTGTGATTGATACTACTACTCCTGTACCCAGGCGAGGAATTATTCATCATAGACCCACTGACGATACTGTTCATATCAGGTGGCATGTAGGGGCTCATGGCCTGGTTCATCTCCCAATTGTTCATAGTGGGCATGCTCATGCTGCCCGGCGACATGGCTTCCTTCTTGATTAGTCTCTTACAGTCGTCCTCCTCGCTCTTAATACTCGAGTGACTCTTCGCAGGCCTCCAGTTGGCCGCCGAGTCTATCGTGACTTCGTCTATGTCCGCTGTACTAGCTGTCGAATGGAGAATGCCCCAAATGTACTGGTCAACCTCCAAGGCCTCCAAGACAGCAGGTTTCGAGCAAACAGGACACCTCCACGCGCCCCTCTCACAATTCAATTGAAGATAGCTCTCAAGATCGAAGCACTGAGGATGCTTGCAGTCATGCCCCCTGGCCGGCAATGTAATCCTCTTGAACGTGATCGGACATTTCAACGATATCTTCAACGCCGTCTGCTCAACAACATCATTCTCACTCTTAATTCCATTGTTACCCATTGAACTATTGAAGTTCTGCTTGATGTTAGCTATGCACTGCTCAGCGGTTAACAATCGTTTCTTCAATGTCCCCTGCAAGACACTCCTCACTGTCGGTCTGTGCACAAGCTGAAGGACGAAAAGATGAGAGCAGCAGCAAGCCGACACCGTTATCTGTATCGTATTCCTACCATTCTGGCAGACATCCTTGAGGTAAAGTGGCTTATGCGACGACTTATTCTCCCCCCTGTCAATCCCCTGTGGTGTTGCATTAACTGAGACCTGCACACTTGCCGGCCAATTTGTGTTCATCTGCCTGTCCTCGTGATGGAAACACTTTAATTGTAACTCCAAGTCCTGTCTCCACATCAGTGTCTGATAGACCGTTGGCTTGAGCTGGAATGCGTGATTACTGACAGCTAGATTATGCTGCAGACGAAATGGGGGGAGGATAATGCCATCCCTTACTGGGAATGTTAGTCTCAGTTCGTCGTCCTTCTGGATTGGAGCTGGGGATTTTATGTCGGAGAAGGTCGGCTTCATGTCGAAGTTCGGTTTAATGTCGCTGAAGTTGGGCTTTATGTCGGGATTCGGGCTTATGTAGGGGGCCATTGAGGTGGCGGGGGTCAGGGGGGGCGTCGGATTCCCGGGGATGGGGCTGTGTTGGTAGGAGACGTTGGGGACGTTCGAGGGATTTCGCATGGGAGAGACTTCTTGCTGGTACTGGGGGTTTGGAGGGTAGGAGTTTGCGTTTGTGTAGCCTGGGTGGCTAGGGTGGGAGGGGTGGCTCTGGTGGGAGGGGTGGGTTGGGTGGGCTTGATGGGTTTGGTGGGGAGGGTGGCCAGGGTGATTTGGATGGCTTGGATTACCCTGGTGCCCCACGAATTGTCCACCCTGGTGGGACACTGGGTTCGTAGCCATGGTGACTTGGTTGTGTTGGGTGTTGGTGTTACCGTAATACTGATTGGACTGGGGCGCCCCCTGGGCACTGTACGACGGGGCCGTTTGTCTCATGTTGGTGCCTCTGATCATCGTGCTGGGGAAGGTTGGGCTCATACCCTGGACAGATTGGTACTGGGGGTGGAAGTTGGCGCGGGCCCCCGGGTAGTTGTTGGGGTACTGGTTACCCATGTTATTGAAGGTGCTTTGCTGCATTCCTGGGTGCTGGGGTGTTGGGTTGGCGTAAGGACTTTGCTGCCTTTTCTGCACCATGTGCATTCCCGGGGCTGGGTACGGCGCCAAGCGCCTGGGGTATTGCTGCTGCGACTGCTGCATACCCATTTTTGTCATTTGCATGTTGTTACCTGCCATCATGGTGTTCATCGACATGCTGTTGCCCACGTTAGCCATGCTGTTCATTTGGGACATTGGGGACATGGTGTTCATTGAATTCATTGAATTCATTTGCGCCATTGACATTGGGTTCATCGGGTTCATGGTGTTCATGGAGTTTAGGGAATTCATTGAGTGCACTGGACCCATTGAGGTCATTCCGGTAAAGTTGTTCATACCAACTGGACCCATTCCGGCCATTGGACCGCGCTGGGGGTAACCACTATTATAGGTGTTGTGGGGCATTCCATGCTGACTCTGGAACAGGATGTTGACGTTTTCGTTAGACTGTTGGACTTCAGGATTTTTTAGGTTTTAACCCTAGATTGGTCACCCTTTGAGGGAAAACTCCATCGCGCGTCGTTTTTCTTCAATTACAATTAACTGGCTAATCGGAAAAATTAAAAAAAATTTGACTTTGTCAATTGAAGTGTCTAAAAAATTATCGGAATTTTTAGAAAAACATATTTCTAACAAAATTCCTAAAGAAAACAAATTATTTCGGACAGATAAATTTTTTTTCCCATGTTAAATGAAATTGCCCATGATGTGACGTTGCCGGAAAATCGCTAAACGCGCCCGGGCAGTGTAGATTGAATTTGGCGACGCTAAAGCCTAAATAACACGGCGGGGAATCCCCGCGGAGGTAACCAAAGTCGCAGGATCGTTTGGTGACCAGACTAGGGTTAAGGGAAAAGCATGGGTTTTCTTGGGGGGGGGGGGGGGG